CTCAAAATTACACTCTAACAAAACCGAATCAAAAATTTGTTTAGTTCACCTCAAAATTAATCCGTGCACCAAGTCAAAAAGCCTAGGTGTTTCCTCTTAAACTAAGCATATCTGTTTTTCTTTGTTCTTCTCCTTTTTTCTTCTCTTTCCCTTTCTCTTTCTCCTTGACTTTGTCTGGTTTCTGGGCAACCAGGACTGACAGATTCGACTAACGTACGTAAGACAGTGACTAATGGGCAAAGGTCCTACGGACCGCCCAGACAAATAAATGACGAATAGTAGGTTAATTGGTGTCAAAAAACGTTTGACCGTTTCAATTCCGGAAACTCAAAAAATGTGTACAGCATTGTTAGTGGTGATGAATCGTGGATTTACTATTATGAACCAGAAAATAAACGACAGTCGGCTGTTTGGGTGTTACAAGGTGAAGAAAAGCCAACAAAAGTCATCCGTTCTCGAAGTGTTTCGAAAAAGATGGTCACGACATTTGTGTCAAAAGCGGGTCATATTGCAACAATTCCTCTTAATGAGCAAAGAACTGTTACTGCAGATTGGTATACCACCATTTGTTTGCCAAAAGTCATCACCGAAAACTCAACCCCGAAAGAAGAATCATCCTCCACCAAGACAATGCAAGCTCGCACACAGCCCAAAAAACAAGGCAGTATTTAACGGAAGAAAACGTGGAATTATTGGACCATCCTCCATATAGTCCCGATCTAAGTCCTAACGATTTCTTTACTTTCCCGAAAATTAAAAACAGACTGCGTAGTTAAAGGTTCCAGTCACCAGAAGAAGCAGTTGACGCATTCAAAAATGCCGTTTTGGATCTGCCAGCAGACGAGGGAATAAGTGCTTCGAAAATTGGTTCGAGCGCATGCAGATGTGGAGAATACTTCGAAAAACAATAAAGTCATTTAAAACTACATACCGTGTTGCTTTATTTCCATATGCAAAACTTAAGACATCCCTCGTATTAGTAGGGAAGGGATATATGGATTATGATATTAGAAAGGGCAGCAGGGCAGTAGGGATGAATTTTTTGAAACGCGGATGACTTTTTGAATTTTACGTTATCTATGGATTTCCTCCGTTTAATTAGAGCTTATGTAAATTGTCTGTCGTATTTTCCATAACGCAATGAAGCAGATCATCGGTAATACTGCAATACCGCGCAACAAACAGTACTTAAAACCGCGTAATTTGATAGTTATCAGTTTTGCAGGAGTCTGGACATAATGAATATTTTCTTTGTAGGACTGAATTGTCTTATGTCGTCTGGAGAGTTCGGAAATCGCTATAAAGAATCTATACACGAGAAATCACCATTATGATCTTTATTTTTTTTATACTCCAACTACCACGAAGGCCTAAGGCCTAAGCACCCATTGGGTACCGTGGGGCTATATAGGGGGATACATGGGAAAGGGGGGAACGCCACACGGACTCTGGCGAGGGAACACGTGTGCATGCAACATGCACACATTCTGGCTCCGCCTACGAGATCCGCCGGGTGGTACCTCCGCGTTCGATAGTCAGAAACCGTCTACCACCTACGGACAATCACAACATTCATAGCCAAGAGAAAAATTTCTCCTGGGACGGGACTCGAACCCGCACAGCGCACGGCGACTGATCAGGAGACCGAAGAGTCTACTACTGCGGCCACCGCTGCTGCCTTCTGTAGTAACAAGGTCTGAGCACAAGTACAAGTCTACAAAATATGTGACACTTTTCATGGGGATCAAATCTGGTGATCATTGTAACCATGAAGTAACACCATTCGGAAGAAGTCTACAAATAATCAAACCCGCATTCCGCATTTCATAAAATCTACTTGTAATAAACATATATTGTATGACACTTTTTTTCTGCCTCGAAAGATAGTTGCATTAAAATTTATCTTCAACGCAGAATGCTCTATAACTAAAAAGGACTTTGGCACCGGGGTTGTTGGACATAAAACAAGTCTCTCACAATTTCTCGATAGGAGAACCATAATGTATTATCCCAACATCTCATTTTAGGCCCTAATGCTGATGATGGTTCTTGCTATCTCGAGATATAAACAAAGGTTCTAGGTGGAATTGTATGATCACAACAATTTACTACAGGCAAGCCATTATTTCAGTGTTCACCGTTTGGGATTCCCATACACCAAGTAGATGCACGGAACACATACACTGAAGATAGAATGTGGGTGGAGCTTCGTAACGTCACCTTGAGAGTTGTCGGCTGTGCGATTTGTTGGTGATTTTTTGTGGTTTTGTGACTTGTTTAAGTTATACATATTTTATATATCCTGTGTGGTTGGTAAATTGATAAAAATGCGGTGGGCTGTTGTGGGATGTAATTCCGACAACCAATCTAAACGGAATTCTTGCAAAGACATGAAATTCCACAATTTTGCTCAAAACTCAAACTTTAGAAAAAAATGGCTACATCTTACAAAAAGAAAAGACAAAGTCAATGTAAAAAGCGCTAGGGTTTGCTCGAAGCACTTTTGTGAAAGTGCATATAAGGTCAATTTGCAACATAACCTTTTGGGTTACACCCCTAAAACATATCGTGCTCTCAAAGATGTTGCCATTCCTAAGAAAAAATTACCAAAGTCTCTATCATCACCTAGACCTTCTACATCTACGCTTCAGCGTCCAATACCTGTTAACAAGACGTTTTAATCAATATGTGATAGGAAACTTTTCGGAGTAATTAGGGCAAAAGGTGGTCTTCATGACCATACAAGTCACCTAGAGTTTAAGTATAGAATAAGGTTTGGGGCGAAACGAAGGCGCAAACTCAAAGTATTGCAGCGTAGTGTCAGACATTCCACTAACCGCATCATTATTGAATAAACTGAATGCACCTAAAGTATCTGCTGATTTTCAGCTTTGATTGCCATAAATTGCATGATGAGAGGTTGAAAAGTTACTCAAATGAAACTTATTCCTGGATACACCATCTTAGTGAGGGTGGATTATCAAATTGAAAAGCTGAACAAGGTGTTTGCTACATTGAACGGGGACGGAATAGTGACAGAAAATCAAAATTTTATAGGCCAACTTCTGTTGAAGAGCAGCAACATTGACTGACCTGAAACAGCGTGACGTCATGCGTGCCGACGGACGAAAAAAACAAACAAGTTCTGAATTTTGCTATCAGGCCGGAAAATGAGGCCTAACAAGCATACAAGCATAACTGGACGCAATGGTGAATCTATAGATTTGTTCCAACCTTGAGTCTTGGTATCGTACTAGAACCATCCGGTTATCGTTTGGTACGTATGCGCTGGCTGGTCATGATTCCAGAATTGTCTCTGGACTGGAAGATGGTGTGAGCGATTTTAGAATCATTCTTGGAACTGCGAAGTGACAGATAGCTAACTCTTAACTAGTATCTCTTAGTCGTCGGAATAAATACATTCATATGTTATGCGTATAGTTAATCTTAATATTTGGCGATACTCTAGATATTTTCGCCGCCTAGTAGTCAGAAGTCTAAATAATAATTTGACCGGCTTCATTTAAATGTGGCACAGTTGGTTTTGTATGGATTTTCCATTAGCCTGTTTACCCTACATTTTTCAAAAATGTTCATGGTACTCTGGGAGCACTCAGTAGGGATCATTTCATCATTATATTGGTCAATCTCAATTGACCAGCATAGCTAACAGAACCACTCATCTGCCCACCAAAAATTCATTTTTTGTAGTTAAATGGATTGTTTATTTGTGGCTAGCCAACTTCTGCTATACAGTGCTTTTCAGAAAGCTCCCCTACTTATTTTTTGAATGGGTCTAATTAGCAAGTTGATTATGTGCAATAGAATACAAGACAATAAAAATTGATAGATTTTGGCAATTTTTTTAAATGGAATGTTAAGTATATACATATTACACATTTGAATAAACTTTTCCAAGAGAAGATTGATATACTATATATCGTGTTTTCATTACTGATTGTTATGTACAAAAACATTCTATAAGATGCTGATCTAATATTCCATGGTTATAAAGTACACATAAAGAGCTTCACAATGTAGGATCATACAACCCCCCATTCCATTTGAAAAAATCCCAGAACGATGCCATATTGTTATTTTGTGTCACTTTTACACTAAAATATATTATTCATGAAACAATTATGTTATAATCTTGTAACTTGACCCATTGAAAAAATAACTAGGGTGACCTTTTTAAAAAGCGCTTTATATTTGACAAGTAATGCCTTTAGCTAGTAGCCTTACTTTAATATAGAATTTGCTGCTAAGATGCATTATTTACTACATTTTAAATGTTTGGATTGATAGCATGCTGCTAGAAATTTGTTCCTCCCCTTCATTTTCAAGAACAAAATCTTACAATTTATTTACCTTAATATAAATACTAAAGATTGAGTATGACCCTCTACAATTTTATCATACTTTCGTAATAAAGTATAAAATATCTAGTTCAACTATATAGATGAACTAATGAATGTCATTTTTTAAACATTAATATTCAGTTTTTGTTCTGGCGCCAATTGTCTATGGCAGTCTCTTCGAACGAAGTGAGTTCCGTTTGTATTTTCTTCCGAGAATTAATGAGTTTGTACATTTTATTCAAGATGATGATTATCTAAGCATTAAGTTAAAGACTGATGGAAGTTTCATAGAACAATTAGTTTTTGTTTGTTTCGATTGCATTTAATTTTTGTAGTACAAGTTCTAATGAGAATTTAATTTTTAAGCTTTATTAAAGTAAAACAAATAATTTTATTTTTGTTTCAAGTTTTTAATTATGATTCTTATAAAAAATGATTATATTTAGTTTATAAAAGAAGAATACTGTATATCTTTGTTTATTATTTTTAATTTTGTTCAAGAATTTGATTATGTGAAATTAAAAACATGAGTAAAAGCTGATAAAAATTTAATATAATTTGTTTTTGTTTGTTTACATTGTATTATACTTTTTTTTGTCTTATAAGTTCTATGAAAATTTAATTGTTAAGCTTCATTGCCCAAAGTAAAGTAAATAAATAATACCAAATGATTAAGTGAAGACTGATAATGTGATTACCAGGTTAAGTTACTTTTTCTTGTATTAAAAAACATAATTTATGAATGGATTTTGTTTTATTAACCTACTATTATCTAGTAATTATATTTTTTTCTGATATTCATATTCGCAAAACATTCGCAGAAATTTTGTGAATGCATATATAAAAATATGTGAATATCTGCGAATGAGAATATTTTTTGTTACATCACTAAGATGAACCATTATTAGATACTGCAACAATTTGTATGCCAGTTATTGTGTATCAATGAAAGACAATAAAAAATAATTAACCATTATCTTAATGGTGATGATTTTGGTACAAAAATAACTTAATCACATTATAGATACTTACAACATAAGGGTACAACACAAACTATATCTAATTATTTGAGGCTCCACATATTAGGAATTGTATTGAGATAGTTACAGAGTTTATTATACATAGCAGCATCAAAATCCTCATTGGTGAAAGTGATGTACTCATCTGCTGTTACTCCTTTTCCTGTAGAGGTTCCATGGACCTGTATGAGAAAAATATAATTCAGTTGTGGCTAAACCATTGATAATCCTTATGAATAGTCAACTCAATTGATTTTTAAATAAATTCAACCATCTTATATTACTCATATCAGTATCCTGAAGTAAATAAATGTTTCATCAAGGATGCTTTCCACATAGGGGGGTAGGGCAGAATTGGACAAGATTTCTTTTTCCACTGGCAATGTGTTGAAGAACAAAAAGAAGTAATTTGGAGATGGATTAACACTTTTTGTGTTTCTATACATGTGGGGCTAGTGCAAAGGCAGCAGCCCACTTTTTGGAATATAGACTATTGTGAATATACTTATATTCTATACACCTGAAAACAAAATAGAGGCTTTCCAACACAAAGTTTTCTGTAAACAGAAAGGTTTCGGTAAGTTATGTAGGAGCTATAGTGGGCTACATGACCTTCCTGCACTTGTGTTATGTACTTTGAGCTGATCTAGAAAATACTGAGTCAAAGTTTAATAGATAAGTGAAGCTCGCCACTTACCTCAACATATCCTTCGAGATTCTTATCAAACGGCCTCTTGAGTATGATTCTAACAATCTGGTTATCTGTAGACCGGATATCGAACCATAGCCCGTTTGGAGCTTTTTCAGTGATGAACCCAGCAATGCTTACTTTTTTGTTGGCATAGGCCGGCAGCATAGACCCATTTACGATGTCTAGGCTAGATGTTATCGCCATTTTGATGGATGCTGTCGAAAAAAATGGAATAAAGGTACACAATACACTTGAACTACTGCAAATTGAAAATTACAAGCTCTTACGTTTCTAACCACAACTTTTCTGGAAATCCCGGGAAAAATGTTGACGATCACAAGTCAAAAGTGACAAGTAACAGTTAACAATAGAAGAAACACCTCCAAGTAATTAATAAAAATCAAATTCAAGCGGATAACCAAATGGAAATGGTATTTACCATTTTGGGTTGGTATTTACCGATCCGTTCAAGCGAGTGTAGTTATCAGTTTGGTTATAAGATCCGTGCCGTCACGAATCAGCTGTTATACGTCATAGTTATCACCGCAAAATTGTGGTATTTACCCAACTCAAGAGTAATTTTATATTTCTGGTTATTGTTTGAAATGTGACAAGTTAGAATTTTGCCGGGTATTGGATATTGTTATTGTACTTCAGCTTCATTTTTGAGAAAATTGATAGAGGCTGACTTCAGTTTTACCGTAAAGTGGAGCTCCTTATTAGTTATACTCATTACGGTTGTTGAGGACACTTTAAATGTAGTTCATATGCTTTACAAAGTATCCTGTGTAGCCATATACCACAAGAATATTAAAATATAGCCATATAAACTCACTAGATGATATCCACCTGTATACGGTTTTGCTAATATCTTTTTTCATCATTTCTGCTGAATCAATAAATGTTTTCTTTGACATGCGGAAAAATTTAGAGAATTGAAAGTTATCATAGCTACAAAGCCATGGTTCCATCATTAAAAAAAAATCTGAAAAAAACATTTCTCCCATGAATATTATGAAAGGTTTCTTATTTAAACTTTCCATACACAGCTGTAGACGAAAAAGCATCGATTATTAAGTTATAATAAAAATAACCAGAGATTATATACGCGCTTTTCTAAAATAAACAACTAGCAACAAAACCGCGGTTAAAACCAACGCGTTCAAGCGATTCGTGTAACTGACGTCATCAACCCGTGTGTCATCTTCAACCATATTATAACCGCGGCACATAACACAGAAATTTTGGTTATTCGCTTGGATTTGATTAATGTAGTTGTGTCCGCCATGTTAATCCCTGCAAATTACGGAACAAACGGGAACATAATTATAGCTCGTAACATGTGACATACACAATAAATGTTGTATGAACTCAAATAAAAATAAAAAAACTGTCACCATGTTAGAATTAGAAACGGGAAAGTTAAAAAAAACAAATACAAACAACGTTCCGTTTATATAGACGAAGATGGAGGATGAGCATTTGTGAGTGTTATCTCCATCTCCTAAGAGCCAATATCGGCTTTGAACTGCATGCCATGTTGCCATGCGAGATGCGAGATGATTCGATGATCGCCAAATTGTCATCAGTTGTCATTTTCAAATGATAGTCAATGGTTATAGAATTTAATTGTCGAACGGTTTTAGGAACAAGATTTTGAGGAAGTTACTTAAATATTGGCGTAATTATAACAAACTCGTTTTAGTCAATACTCTTTGAATATGCCTATAAATGAAAGTTCAGTCTGTGATGAAAACTCCATTGAATATGAACTCCGCTCAACCACAATGTTGTCCCCATCATACCTGAAGGAAATTTTACATCAAGAACAACTCCAAGTGCTCTTAGTTTATCTGTACAATAAAACAGATGATATTATAAAAATTGAAACTCATTCTAACAACATAAGAGTAAAAATTGAAGAAAACTCTACTCGATCGGATGTTACGGGCAGTCCTCTAAAAGTTGATTTGAAGGGTGATGATAGTTTTGGTACATGTTTGAAATTGAAATATTACCATCCATGGACAGATTCAGAAGGTACATAAAAATATTACCAATTCTGCAACTTGCCAGCCACAGTCTACAAACTGTTGACACATCAACACTGTAGCAATAAGGTGCTTCATCTTTCTTTTAAATTTCAGCGAAATACCACCCATTATCAGTAGAGGCCAGCAGAGAGTTTATGAGAAACTACTTGAAGAAGTCAAACATAACAGAGATACCAATATTTGCAATTTGTGATGGAAACAATTCTCTGAAAACCGTGATATTAGGAATGCATAAAACAAAGGACTACCTGATTACCAGCACATTAAACATGCTAGGCTTCAAACATATTGAGGATTTCACACTAGAAAAAATGGAAAAATGTCACTATCTCAACTCTAGGGCCAAACAAAGTAATATCTTATATTCAATCATATCAAAGTATACAATTTATGGATCATTCTTACAAAATGTGAAAAATGTCAATGACTGTGACCAGTATGGAAATGTCACTGTTGAAATCAAAAACAACAACCAATGTGGCTTCAACAAATATGAACGTTCATCAGAGCAAAAGGTATATTATTATTTAGAGTAAATTAGTACTCTAGTAGGGTTCTTCATGACTCTTTTGTAACAGTTTTTCAAGAGGTAAGGGGACCAGGTAATCCTAGGGGTTGAATTTTTTTGATTCTGGTGGTTGTCATAGTGCACTGTGTTCTAGAATAGTTCTCCACCTTGCCGAATGGGACAGTGGCTATAGTGGCGCAGAATGGGCTTCTAATAGGAGGTTCTTGAGCTCGCTTAAATAGTTTTTGTCAAGTAAAATGTTCTTACTCAGATTATTTTGTATATTGTGTTATCTTGTCAATTTATCACCAGTGATGTAGCGAGGCCCAAATTTCGATTTATTGCATGGTCACTTTATCAAGTGTCAGTATTACGCTAAAAGTGGTGATTTGTATTATTGGAAAGACGTGAAAATTAGTATGAGGGTTCCACAGCGGTCAATCCTTGGGGCAATTTTATTTTTAGTGTACATAAATGATATATCTAAATTATTAACTTAAATTCATTATTCATGTATGCTGATGGTATCTCGGGTATAGTGGCTGACAAAAACATAGAACAGTTGTCTTAAAGATCAACTTAGCTTGTAAATAATGTAGCCGAATGGTCCAATGACAACTTATCAACAATCTGTAATACAATACAGCATATTATTTTGGTTTCACTCTTCGATATCTGCAGAGGTTTTTATATGCCAGAAATGAATTTTAAGAGCAGTATTAAAATTACCCCAGATGACATCTTGCAGAGAGTACTTGAAAAAGTTGAAAATATTGACCATGTATATACATATTAAGTATATGTATTAAAACAAAACCTCGATAGAAACAGGAAAACAGTTATTTCAGTGTTAGTTACAAGAAACTGTAACAATCTAAGTGTGCCCCATCATAAAACCAGCTCATACAATAACAACAGTTTGCCAGTACATATAAAAGGCTGCACAAATATATATGGCCTCAAAAAAAAACATTGGAAGCTTATCTAATAGAAAAGTGTTTTTATTCACTGAATGAATACTTTAATTGTCCATAGTCTTTGGTGTAATATTTTTGTGTATGCAGGGTGATGATGCTTTTAATGGTGCCATCAAAGTGTGTTTATTTATTCTTATGTTGTGTCTATGTTTACCACTGTAAACCTTAACACAATAAATTATTATTATCACCCCTTCAGCACTGTGCTTGGCTCTTCAGAGACCCATTCTAGAGTTTTTCCTTCATGTCATGGAAATGTTAGACCCACCACTGATTAAAAGACTGGGGTGCCTGGCAGAGGGTAAAAGTTGGACAAAAAAGCACATTAGTAGCTCAAATGTTAAAGTCATGAGGAACTTCCAACTTCAGGTGAGCTAATGTTCTTTTGATATTCATTTGTTTTGAAGGTTTTGCTGCAACTTCTTGCTGGCCATCACGAATCGTCTGTCCACTTCCTCTGGAAACAGCTTCTAATCCTGCAGCAGTACATCGATATTCTCTTGGATCCTGACAAATATCAAGATCATGAAACTCCTCTGAGCAATAGCCAACTTGACCTGCAGGACATTTGTTTTCAGATAAAAGAGTTAACCACAGATGTTTGCAAATATGAGCATCAGGGAGGATTTATTTTACAAAACATTCGTAATATGACATTCATGGATCAAATATGGGAAATACTTAAACAGTGTGAGAACTTATGTATGCTCAGAGAATCTTTGACATATCTGTTTGAAACACTAGCAGAGTCAAATTTAACAATTCCCATTACTGAGAGGTGTAGTCTTGCTATTTTGGTGACTGGTTTGTTAGAAGGAAAGCTGGGAGTACCAGTTTTGAGATACCCTCAGGCTATGGAGTTTCTCTTTGAATTAGGAGCAGAGAAGCTCAAAAATGATTATGAAGCTATTATTAGAAACTTCTGTGCCTTATCTAATAATGCCTTATTTGCGGAATGGAATGATTTACATAGCCAATTGAATTTCCAAGAGAATTTCCAAAAAGTAAGGAATACAATTTACTCTAAATCAGAAGTGGGGGATCTTAGAAAACACATTGCTAAGTTAGCTTTTCTGAGCAGACTTCATATAGCTGTAGAAATGATATATTTACTCAAAAATGAAAGTGGTATGACAGAAGATGTTTTAGTTGATGCCTATAAGACAATCTGTAAAACATACTCAGATTCAAAGATCATCACAGATTTTACAGATTTGTTGGCAGTGCCATTGTGTGAAATCAGCTTAAGTGTGAGCTCTGTAGAACATTGTATAAAAAACACGTTGCCTACATCATGGCAAGTGCAAATGGTTTCAAAAATAAAAAACACGGAATTTATGACAACATTCCATTTAACAAAGCATCAGATATTTCCATTTTTGGACATTGATAATGATATAAATACCTATACTGAGAATTTTTACTACGTCTATAACTATGTACAAGACAAAGATATAATCCAGTAAAGGGTGCCATGTGTGTTATGTATAATGTAACTTCTGGATTCTGCTGTGGTTTTTGTGATAGCCTGATCTAACACATATTGTGATTTTCATTGGCCAATCAGTAAATTAACTTACATTCAAAGAAGAAACTTCACCAAACAAAAAAAAAAAACGAAACTAGAACGCCAGTCCAATTTTCTCTGAACATCCATGAATTCAGGTTTTAGTTGTCATATTTAATTATTTTAGAAATATTTTTTATATAGGTAGTGTTTTTCATATCCATAAACTGTTTTAAAATGAATACTTTTGAAAAAGCAAATCTGCACTTTATAACATTGTGGTTTCATATTACTGAAGTTCTAATAAATGCACGTACGACTCTAGATTTACCAATAATTCATTACTAGAGCCCTCTCTCACCAGATGCCATGGTATCGTCGTCTACATCCGTAGTCATATTGAATTATCCATTTTGTCGCCCGTCGCCACGTTAGGAAGCTGGCACTACATGCTACTACAAATATACAGGGTGTTGCAGAATTTTATTAGGGAAATTCGAGTAATGGAGAAGGCCGACAGGTCGTGCTAAATTTATTAGAGTATTTCCAGGAAGAGAATGAAAACAGAGGTCCCTTGTTACCCACTTCATGCGTACTGGAGAGAGTACCAGATGCGCTGAAGATTAAGATGCACCCATGCTACGGAGACTCGATCTGTTTACTTATTTCATATGGCGTTGCTAACGCAACCGCCAAAAACAGTGACTATAGTGGATACCAAATAAAATCCGATGCACGTCATAGGTGATGTCATTCATAAAAATCATGGTTACCAACAGTTGACTACATTCAATGTGACATTTCTACTTGAAGTTTAAATTTCCCCGTCTCGATTCGGTTGGTAGTGCCGTGCAGAGAAATGTGAGGTTGCCACTTCTCATTTGTTGACATCAGTTGCCATTGTCCTTTTGTCGTACTATTAGTTCTTTATTGTTTAGTTTGTGAGTTTTGCGCTATTTGAGCTTTGAATCGTTGCCTTGCCAATTAAAAGTTGTTCTTTTCAGAACAAAAGTTACTGTGAAGTGGTATAAAGTATCCAAAATGCCAAAACAACTTAACAGTCGGTGTAAAGAGCTCATATCAATTCTGGCAACAGCGCACAGCTCCAGATCGATGACGTGCATCGGGTTTTATTTGGTATCCACTATATAGTCGAAATCACGAAAGATGACGATTACGTCATCATTTTAGTATGTAGTAAAGACACACGACAGCGATTTGTGAATATTTTTAATGAAGTTTCAGATATGTTAGACAGAGACAAACAGAATTTTATTGTCTAAATAAACTGTATTGCTAATTTGCATGTATCCGACAAAGAGACCGTTTTCATGTTGCATGACATCATATTTGAAAGATGAATAGTTAGGTTATGTTAAAGCAGGTTAGGATGTTTTCGAATAATACTTTGGTCTTTGGTGTTTCTGTTTTAAGGTATTCTAATCATAACTTTTTTTTCAAAACAAAAACTCCCTACTAAAATTATTATTAAGGATCACTCAAAACCATGAAGTAAAATGAAAATAAAAATAATCAGTGAAATAACCTAACTTCGCAAAATCATAACATAAATTTGTTGTTATCGTGATTTTATCATCGACGTATGTCGATTGATTACTTCAGTACAATTTATGATATGACGTAATAGTCATCTTTCGTGATTTTAACTATATAGGTACTATATGAAATAAGTAAAGAGATCGAGTCTCCGTACCATGGACGGAAGACTGCTCAGACTAATCTTCAGCGCATCTGCTACTCTCTCCGGTACGCATGAAGTGGGTAACAGGGGACCGCTGTTTTCATTCTCTTCCTGGATATACACTAATAAATTTAGCAAGAGCTGTCGGCCTTCTCCATTGGCATTGCACAATTTTATATTGAAGATAGATAACAGGACAACTTGAATAGCACGCCGATGTCAAGTAAGGGCCTTCGCATACTACGTCGTATCGTAAGCGTATCGTGATACGCGCGCAGGGAGAGACCAAAACGAACTCGAATGTGTGCTAACAAGTCCGTACACGAAGCGGTGTTGCAACGAAGTATATGAGATGTTCAGTGTCATTACGATGGTCGTAGCGGCCTGGCGTAAGGCAAGCGTAGAGAATCAAGTTTTGAATTCAAAAATTTTGTCTAATTGCTCTCGATGTTACACCAGAAACATCTGGTACCGTTGACGCCATGATTTCAACTAAGATCTTGCAAAATGACACGAGTACGTGACGATGCGTGTGTGGAACACTGCAGCTCTCGTAAGCCTTCCGTTGTAACGATTTGTGTGCAAAGGCCCTAAGTTGTTACTCTGACGAATACGTAACGACAAAGTTTTCAAGACAGACACACAACTCAAAAGCGTATGTTAGCTTATCGAACAAACGTTCACACTCAGAGGGGTAGGTTGCATGGTATGCATAAAACATAGCTAGTTTTCCGAAAAATGTAATTGGAATGTTAAAATGACTCGAAGTCCAACTCTATCAGGTATTTCGCCCGCCATCATAGAAATGACGTAACGGTCGGTGACATTTCTCTTATCTCTCGTTCTGTGCACCGTGCAATGCGTCACGAAGCACAAACTCCGCCATTTTGGTTATTGACTGGTGTCTTGTGGTGTTTCTTGATTCTTTTAGCTGTGGTGCATGGTTTGGCGCAAATTTGTGGAGTTCTATGAGACCCGAGACCATAGGACGTATGGAGATTTAAAATTTTGAAGACAGGAATTCAAATTAGCTAGATGGACATGGAAACAATTTTAAAATGTAGGACTTGTTTGACGCAAGGAACGCAAGCTGAAATTTCCACCAGAGTCAGCGATCTCGTCAGCTGCTACGATGAAACTTATAAGGATCTTATTATACATCTTGTACCGCCGATGGTAAAGCTATCTTTAAAAACCTCAGAAATTTTTAAATATTTTTTCTTGAATGTGATATGTGGTTATACTGCCGTTGCTTTAGGATTGCCAAGTTACAATTTTACCTCCTTGCTTATTTCTAAATAGGGTCAAAATATGTAATTGTGAACATGATATTTACATAACAAAATTTTGTATATGTGACCTACAAGTCCTGTCATGGGGCTCTAACTTTGTACACTTTTATCTAGTACATTTGAAATTGTTGCAGTTAGGCTTTCAATCATCCACAGGCTATGTTTACACTGTATGTATCCAAGTACTTGGATAGCTACTGAGCACCAAATCATAATCTTATCATAACTCTCGATGGTATCCGAATTTTCAATTTGAGGTTTTTCCTTTCAACTTCCATCACTAACTTTGGTTTTTCATATAGACACTGTATTGGAATTTTGTACATTTAAATGGACTATTCCATCCTAAACTCGGTGATGCATTTTCTATGTTGGCCATGAATTTGCTGGAATGAGAATTTTTAAGAAAATAAAAAGGTATGGTGTGCCACAAGGATCTGTCCTTGGCCCCTTGTTATTCTTACTCTATATAAACGACCTACCAAATTGTCTTCTTGATAGTATGAACAGCAAGCTCATTCTTTATGACACCACTCTGATCTCAATCCATGATTCATTTACAAACATCAACAGCGAAATGACAGCCAGTATATCTAGCATTCAGAATTGGTTTACAGCTATCAAATTAACATTAAATTCAAACAAATCTCAATCCTTGTACAATCACACTTCGAAATAATAATCAGAATGGTGACCATACAAAGGTTATGAAGTTTCTTGGGTGTCTATATCGACTCCTCCTTGAACTGGGATGAACTTATCAGTCATGTTACCAAATCTTTAACAAGCATAATTTATTTAATTCGCAATTTAAAACACTCAGTTTCAATGAACATCCTGTTGACCAGTTACCATGGGTACTTCCATAGCAAAATGACATGCATCCTTCTGGTGTGGGGCCACTGTCCCCACATGTACAAAGTATTTGCCATACAGAGAAGATGTATCTGATATATAGCAAATCTAAAATATAGAGATCCCTGCAGATCTGTGTTTATCAAACTAAAGATCATGACTTTGACTGGCGCACATATATTGAGCTGCCAGATGCATGTCTTTATACAGGCCACTATGAAACTCATTCATATAATACCCAGCACCGAGACAACTTGTACCCAAACAACATAGACTTGCTAAAACAAGGAATGGAGTTAACTACCATGGCATAAAATTTTATACTATTTTACCTAAGGAACTAAGATCACATACATACAATGACAGTAACACACATCATATCAGTAATGCTGTGAAAAAATTGCTTGTGTCGGCTGATTTTTTCACCATTGACGAGTTCCTCAACTTCTCCACGGATACTGAATAGTTATATATTTTAAGCTACATTTCCTTTTGTTTTGCTTCTTATTCGAACCATGTATAAAATATTTATTACAGTTCTCTTATGCCATCCATATATTGATTTTAACGTAGCTTGTAATCATTTTATCTTTTATACTTTTTCTTGTCATCCTGTTAACCATATTTATGTGTGTGTAATATGTAGTGTTTGTTATTATGTGTATTGTTTGTCATTTATTTTCTTCTTGTAACTGACCACCTTTATTATATTGACTTGTGTAAGCACATTCTGTGTAATAGCACCAAGAAACCATTATTATTATTATTACTATTATTATGGTGAATTTTACATTTTTTGTTCCAGTTTCATCATACCTTATCATTTTTTATATGTATATTCCAACAACAAATTCATGGCCAACAAAGACAATACATCACTGAATTTAGGACTGAAAACTCTTTGAATGTAGAACATTCCAATATAGGATCTATATGAAAAAACTAAGTTGCTGATGGAAGGCGAAAGAAGATACCTAAAATTGAAAATTTGACTATGTCATCTGGTAGAGAAAAAGTCACATTGACAACATGCAGTTTATTTTGAAATCCCATGTCAATTCAAATTTTTGGAATCAAAATTAAAAACAATTAATTTGTGAAAAAGTCCAATATGGCATACATGAGAAAAAGAAAGTTGATGCGTGAGGACAAGAGACAAAACGTCATATTGAAGTTCTAATGGTGTCATCTTGTAGAGGATAAAAAGTGGCAATGTTAATGTGCAATTTATTCTGAAATTCCTCTACAGATGAAGTCAGGAAAAAATTATTACGATTTTAAGAATATTCTGTTCTTTCCGTCTCTTTCTGGAAGTACATTGAATTTCGAAACTTCTAATCAGCATTTTTTAGCTACCTAAATACGCAAATTTCGTAAATTCTCATGAAGACATTAAAGCAGTATCTCATCCTTTCTCAGGTAATTCTTTGCATGTGAGAATATAGCTTTAGGTTGGCTATCTCCAGGTAGAATATCTTAATGATATAGTAAAAAGAATACAAAAATTGTACTACAGGATCATAAGATAAGAGAGATTCACAAGGCACTCAGCGCCCATTTATGCGCGACTTCAATCGTGCGACAGTGTGTCCTAACATGTTCAACAATGAACAGACATAGGGATGCCACTGTCGCATGCACAAATGAGTGCTATCCCTTCAGTCTAGAAAATAACTTATTCTTTGCAGGAATCTTCCTTGACTGATGATGACTTGATTTGCTTTACATGCAAAAAAGTATTGAAAACAACGAAAAAATTCATAAACCACTGTTTAACTGTGGAGGAAAAATTGGTAGATGAGTTTGAAGGTGAATTGACTCATAATGATGAGGCAGAAACCCCTTTTATAGTTCCGGTGGAAAGCTTGGAAAACGTCGATCTTGAAAATCCAGCCGAGATTGTGGAAAATATAGAAATTGTTGTGGAGGATGGTAAATTTAATCTAAAACTTATGTAATTATAAGAATGAATTTGAAAATGCCATAGAACAATTAAAAGTATATTTTTACAAAAATTTTGACCTATAATTTTGGGTAGGTTTTCATAGTGTTAAATAATTTGTATTTTTCCATAGATGCAAACGAAAAGCAAAGCGAAAACGAGAATGTAACAACCCACACAGTGATGGATGGAGATGCTAACACATCTATGATAGATCATTCATACATTAAAACAGAAGCAGATGATGCAGAAGGCACTGAGAATGGAGAAGTGCTCTTCCAGCAGGATGAATATGACAGGTGAAATTCTAGTAAAAGACCTGAAAACACTGTGGGTGTCTTTCTGGTCCGTTTTGCATTGAAACCTCAAATGATATACTCCATTAAAATCAAGGAAGTGAAAGTAAACAGTCATGTACTGTATGTCTAGTAGTAGTATGTAGTAGAAAGAATTATTTAGCATGTTTGGCTACATAAAGAGAATAATTATAAACAACTTCAAATTAGTAAATTAAAACCAGATGATGCACATTCTGGGCAAGCTGTAATTGTAGATTTAACAGGTAAATACCTCAATTTCATTTTGATTTTTTTTTTCAAAGTATCTCTGTATTCAATTTATTTTATTCAATCAACCCTTAAACATTAAATGGTCATCTTTATGTCTGGTATTATGTAAATGATGATTTGATGATGTTAATATAAATAGACATATATATACATATATATATATATATATATATGTATATATATATTATTTTTTACTTAAAAAATGGAATTATTAGCTAAATGTAGGATAGTCAAACAGTACAAGAAATTTAAAAGAATGATATAATTATAGATAATTTTTTACTATATGAACACAGACATCCAGAGACTCTTGATAAATATCCCACTTTACTACTAGTCTTGTCTATAATTTTCGCATGATGAATATCAAAATTTAATTGAGAGTCAAAAAGAACCACAGGATAGGTATTTAAAAATTTCTACAAATTCCATTAATCAATTTGTACATTGGTTTTTTCCATTTAACATAACCCTTGTTTTACTTGTTTGTATTTGAGTTTGTTAGATGCTGACCATTTTGAAACAGTTTCAATCGTCGAACATTTGAATTTTGCATTTTTTGACTATGACAGGTAAATCGTGGTATAAATATATGAAATAAAAAGAAGTGGTCCCAGGATACTGCCCTTTAGAATACCTAACGTAAACCTAAAGCTACACCAAATCGACAGATCCATTCCTTTACTGAAGCGTCGGCTACCGTAGAGGCTTCCTGATTTGGCAGAGCGTATGCCTCAACCCACTTGCTGAATTAATCAATTACCACAATGATGTACTTATTCCCTGCTTCACTTTCTGGAAAAGGTCCTGCCACATCAATAGCAATCCTTTCAAAGGGGTTCCCCACGTTGTATTGGCGCATCGAAGCTTTTGGATTCCTTTCCGGTCCATTACTTGCCACACACACACAATGCATTTCCTGCACCAGTCTTTCAAGTCCTCCTTGCTATTGATCCAGTAAAATCTTTCCCTCACTTTTCCCAGGGTTTTTGTAACTACGAGATGACCTCATGACACACCGGAATGGATTTCTTCTAGCAGCTCCGGGATCCAACATCTGGGGATAACGATTTGTCTTCTTTCCTCTTTGCCGGCGTGGTCCACCATTTACGCAGTAAGAGTCCGTCGTCCATAAAGAAAGAATTCCATTGTGCCCAATATGATTTTATGGTAGGGGAATACTTGACAACTTCTTCCCAGGCTGGTTTCCGTTGTTCTTTCATCCAATTCACAATTATTCAAATATCGGGATCGTCATCTTGGTCTTTAATGAGGTCTTCATTTTGCCAGGTGGTTCTTAATACTTGGGCATCTTTCTCCTCTGCCCGCTGGTAATGCTTCCCATCCTCTAAGCAGCGTCTCCTAACGTGCCCTATTTTCCCACATTTCCAATTTGCTGTTCTGGCGACGTCGTTCACCATCAAGTTCCTTAATCATGCGCTTGACGCTTCGAACTCATTATCTCCTGGTACCATCTGGCGGACTCGCTCCTGGCATATATTTGTGTTTTTAGCGGCTTCGAATTCTAGGGCACAAGTTAGCGCATCTCCTAGCTTAGGTGGATGTGCTAGAGTGGTAAGGCTTGCCTCATTTCACCATCCCGAAGTCCATCCAGGAATGCTTGAACTGCCAATCGCTCCATTATCATTTCCTGAACATCGGGATATGCTAATCGTACCCACCGCGCAATATCCGCTTTGAACTCCTGCAAGGACTCGCCTGACTTCTGGAACCGATTCTTGAGTTTAGTATGGTAGACATGTTCTAAATGTGACTGGCCATATCGCATCTCCAAATGTCCTAGTAGTTGTTCGTAGATCTCTTGCTCTTCGTGCAATATTCTTTGAAGAATAGCTGCAGCATCTCCTCGTAGGGCAAAGTGAGTGCAGTTGCCTTTTCGGTCGATGACCAATCATTTGCATTCGCGGCTGCCTCAAACTGACGTCGGTAGACATTCCAAGGTGTTGTACCATCAAATTGAGGCGGTTTCATTCGCAGATGACCAGCTGACCCAACATAAGCTCCAACCTCACTTGATTTTAACAAAGGAAGTCCACGCTGTCGTTCGTCGATGGTTTTGACGTCTAAAGCGGCAAACTTACCTTGCACTTCTTGAATTGTCCTCCAAAGCTTCTAAAATCCGTTTTTCCGACTCGCAAGATTTTTCCATAGTTTTATCTTCCAATTCTTTTTTAAATTGGCAGTATTTTCCAAAAACTTCTCTTCTAATTTGGATGTACTTTCTAAGAGTTTTCCTTTTAGGTTGGCACAATTTTCCACGAGCTTTCCTTCTACGTTGGCACAATTTTCCACGAGCCTATTTTCTAACTTAGCTGAGTTTTCTAAAAGATCGGCACAATTTTCCAAGAGCTTTCCTTCTAGCTTGGCACAATTTTCCACGACCTTGTTTTCTAACTTGGTCGAAAGGTTTTGCAGTATTAATCCAATATCCCCTGCACCGGTAAACATGGAAATATCTGGGTCCTCACCTTCCTGAATCAGTTCTTGACGAAGCCGCTCCTGTAATTCTGCTTTCTTTCCGGCCGTGTCGCACTCTCTTTCCTCCAGCTCTCTAAATCGGCAATTTTCAAATCAAAAAAATTCTTCATTCACTGATCGTCCAATAATCCACACCCCACACCTGACACCAATGTAGCGTTTTTCTGGGTATGGATTAAAACACTGGATTCCACAAAAAGAAATGCACTAATTTATTTAACTTGATAAAACATTTATATACACCACTATTTATGTCTGACTAATTCTTATGTCACCATTGACTTCACTCCGCCCTGCTACTCTACCGTATTCAGTACTCTGCCTCCATCTCCCGGCCGCCGAGTTATATATAGTCCCAATTACCCCTTCGAGAAAAACCGGGTGTACCACAGAGCGTCATCTAGAATGTTGGAGATCACTTCGCGTCGATCTAGAAGGCGATCCACTGTCAGGGTCCTCACAGACGCCGCCAGGCGGCTTGTGCAGCAGTGGGCAACAGATGGCGCTATTTGTCACAGTATTATTCGACTTTACAACACATTGCACGCCACGCGAACGTCTAGTTGCAACTCTGTGATTGTGCTGGGCGCGACGGATTAAGCGATTGATATCGAATTCACCTATGACGGTCCTCACCATCTGTTGCTGAGCTATCACGTATTTGTTATGTTTTACTCTACTTTGTATTTGGACGGAGCTTGGATCAGATAAACTTATCGGTATTTATCGCTGACTAATGTGCTATAATTTTGCTCCTACAGTAACACTATGCCTGAAGAACCCGATGCGATGGATACCACTTCAGAATTGAATTCTGATGATGGCCGCCGATACGTTTTGGTTCAACAGGAGGAAAATGCGCAAGATGGGATGAAGGAGGACGAGATAAGTTTAGAGCAGCTAGAGGAATTTGCTGAGGGTTCGACAGGTGAAGTGTCCAATGATGGCCAAGTGGTGATCAAGCAGGAACAGCAGGCTTTCACGGAGGATGATAGCTCGCAAGAACAGTAAGTATTTGTCGATAGTTCTGGCATTATGCTTTCCTATTCCAATTTTTGTCTTGTGGCTTCCCAGAGAGACTATAGATAGTTGGCCATCGTAAAATATCTGCCATAATTATTGTCCACCACACAATATCATTGCAGATGTTCTAGCCCCAGTATCTTTTCTAAATATATCATTGAATTTTCCAACAAAATACACTTTCCACCAGCATGCAGAGTTCTAGACTGATCTCTGCAGATGTGCTGAAAGGTAGAAGATTAGGCTAACAACTTCTTCAGTATCTTATTAGTTTGTCTGTCTCAAATTACTAGACCTATAATGCACTGATGATTGCTAAAAACCACGAAACAACGTTGATCGTTGGTTATGCAGAAAGCAAACGATACAGCCTGCGGGCGTCCTGTTTCTGGGGGCGGCCGAGCATTTCCATCAAACCATTCGTTTCTTTTTGTGGAAGCCTGTCTGGAATACTACTCACACATCTGACTGGGATAGTCTGTCTCTTCTCTATGAGATTCAGTGAAAGGGTGAATGGGTATATCAAGCCTTTTTTACATCGACGGAGACTACTTCATGAACTATTTTTGATCCGTGATAGGACTGTATTATTTGGATTTGATTGAAAGTGTATAATATATGCTATTTACCACTAAATTTTCATCCCTAGTATTATATACTTCAAAAGGAATTAATTTTTCAAGGCGAAAACCCTGAACCATTTACGGGAAAATAGTATGTTCGCAGATTCAAAATGGTGGTGCGCGAATTTTGGCACCCAGTGCATTTGTGTAGAATATAAACCGATTTTTAGTAAGCAACACTTTCAGGAGCCTAATGGAAGCTACGCCATTCCAAAAGCAACTACCCAAAGGTGCGGGCATATGTGACATATGCGGCAAGGAATTCAGCACAGTACAACAGCTGAACAAGCATCTTGCCTCTCATGAAGACAAACGTGTGCAATGTCCCACCTGCCCGAAAATATTCAGATCAGAATTGTACCTAAACAGGCACATCAACCTGGTGCATAAAGTTGACGACCTCGGATTGAGATACTTGTGTATGGCATGTAACAAACTTTTCAAGAATAAGGGGGCGCTCAACGCACATTATAGGTAAGATTTTGCTGATTGGATGATATTCTTTGATCAACACTTTTAAAACAACTTTCCGAGACGTGCACGTATTGCTTTGAGAATAAAACGACAACCATGAATTTCTTTGGATTTCAAAATATTGTTCCATTCCCACATTTCTAGTTTTGATTGTTGCCGTGTGAATATGTTTGTCAAGTTTCAGAGTTTCATAAGCAAGCCTCGTATCTCAAGAAGGCACAGATTAAAATTATAATAAATACGTGAAATGTGAGACATATTTATTAATTATCCCAAATAAGCCCTTCAAAGGTCCTTGAAAATAAAAAACGTCCAAAAATAAAATCTTACACGCTATGTTGCAAATTCAAAACATAGCCTTGGATTCAACTTCTCGATAAAAATGTTACATATAATCTAGAATACCCCACAACTTTTCAGTGAGCGGCATTTCTGGCCATAAATTGACTGAATTGTATCCGTAGAATTTGGTTTGCTAAACAATGGAGTAGCGTTTTATTTGCAACAAAGAACCTCATCCTGAATATTTACACAGATGAAAAACTATATTTTTTCCTAGGTTGAAGCATTTAAAATTGGAGCCTTTCAAGTGTAAAGAATGTGGTGAGACTTTCGGCAGGGCAGATTATTTGAAAAAGCACGAGCAACAACACAGGCAAATTGAAGAAGGGAGAAAAGCAAACAACAGCAAAGTACCTGGAAAGTTTTTGAGATTTAAGAATACAGGTACACACACATTTCTTTTAATATTCCATATTGCGTTAACGGAAATTCTGGATCTGCCTTTAACCAGAACCATGCATTTTCATTGTTAAAATTACGTTTTTATTTTATTCCGGCTACCAAGGGGGCCGAGACCACAAAAGCACCCAAAGTCTAACTTTGTCTAAAGTGTAAAACATGTTTTCTGTTTCAGATGAGCCCCTGCCCTGCAAAATCTGTGGTAAATTCTACAATGGTATTCACAAATTGAAAGTGCATTTGCAAACTCATGTCGTTGTGAAAAGATATGCTTGCGATTACTGCGATCTGACATACAAGAGGTGGCCAAGCCTCAAAAGGCACGAGAAGACTCATCTTGAATCTGACGGAATGTTTTTCAGGTACTTTTGCTGTCACTAGCCATATGAAAATACGAAACTTTCTGTATCCCATATGACGTAGTAACCATGAATTAAGGCAACGCACATTAGTACAACTTCTCTGTTGTAGAGACTATAGCAAACCGGCGACTCCGCTGGCCTGGGATTCGTGTAAAATATAGCTTTTTGGTTTTGCATTAGTGTGAAAGAGATTGGATTCTGAGGAAGACATGCAACAGTTACTTTGGCAATGAACTTTTTTACCCCTACGCTACTGGGCAAGGAAGTATTGTAATCGCGAAAAAATTCGGAACCGAGATAATATTATGTTTTTGTTATATATGACATGTACAACACGAAAAACCATGTCACTGATTTCCGTCGGTTTGTCTGTCTGACCGCTAATCCTTGACCCGTCTATAACTTGGCTAGTACTGCTGGGATTTGGGTGAAATTTTTACGCAATGTTACTACTATACTATACTATACTTTGTTTTATGACGTTTGAGAGGAAGCTGATCATTTTTGAAAAAATCTAGTTGTAAAAAATTAGGGTATGGGAGAAAGTATATCTCATTTTTCAATATTAATATATGTATACGCTCACAGCCCCGGTCATGCAGTACCTATTAGCTATATTTCACACATCATAGATTACCCTCATACATTTGTCCTAAAAAAAATGTTTTCGATATGCGTCTCCTTCTTCTATCTGGGCTCAGCGTCCGGCGTAACGATCTGCTTGATTGTTCTGCTCGTACTGCGGCGGTGCTTTGTTGGGCGCTGCCGCGTTTGACAATATGGGAAGAGGCAATATTGCCAGATGGATGGTAAGTGTTTGACTGACTTGATCTGTTTAATTTTTCCATTGTACATGTCTGTAAGTAATTTTTTTCTTAGAGAGTTTAACTTGTGCAGAACTTAATCTTTTCCTGATGACGGCGTTTCATATGAAGTGGAGTCAACCTACTTGACGCCATTTTCACCCAAAATTTTAATGCAACAATAAGTTCATTTGAAAGTTTCGCTCTTTTATATCAACAAAAAGTAAGGAGTTTCCGTGAACATTAATCTGATCCTAAAATGACTGAATGTCATGGTCAGGTTCATTGGCAAGGAACTTAAAATTGTCCGCAATTGGCATTCCAAGTATTAAACATAGATGTTTCCTGTTAAATATTCATTTCATCGTCGAATGACCTTGATGGTCATAGTCAAGGTCAGGGACATACAATTTCACTACTCTTTTTGTTCTGGTGTTAAAATTAGGGGTTTCCAAGTAAGAAAACTGTTTCGACCTGTAAATGAGGTCATAGTCAACGTCACGTTTAAGATCACCATTAGATGAATCTTTTCAAACCTCACAACTTTGTTAAACAGTCTTTTCACTACCTTCTGGACACCCTCAAATGTCCATGAATATGATAGTCAAGGTCATGGACAATATATTTAAACGTAGTTTTCCGCTGTTTACATTTCTGGTTTTAAAAATAGGGGTTTCGTTTAAGAAAATTGTTGATCTTCAAATGAACTTAAAGATCATAGACAAGGTCACGACCAAGATCACCAGTGTACGAGTCTTTTCAAACCTTTCAACTTTCTTCTACAATATTTTTCCCTAGGAAATGTATTTGTCGAGATACTTTCATCTATCCATACTTTTTGAACACCCTGTATATTTGCGCGTATAAAACTATGTCTACAACGGTCCCTCAGTCGAAGTTTCGGTAGATGGAAATCATACCATGCGAAAATTTGATAAAGGTATGAATTACCTGGCAGGAACATGCAGCAGCATTGAAAACAAAAATTCAAATTACATTTTGGCAACTATATCCCTTGTTACGTAGATTCTTCAAATTGAGTTTGATAAACATAGTTCGACTATATAAAATGATTATTAGACCAGTCATTACTTATGCATGTGCGGCTTGTGTTTGCTTTCCAAGACTCACATGCAAAGTGCTCAAGTACTGCAAAGCAGGACTTCACGAACGAATGGCGACGCTCTATGGTATGTCTCAAATAAACCTTGACATTTCTTACTTCAGTGTTAACCCTGGAATACTAACCTTAATTTTATCGAACTCTTTCTTACACGGTACCACTACAGTAGTGTGATCACACTGGCAAAACAGATGACTAGACGAGAGCCCAGCGCAAATACTTGTATTGCGACGATAAAATCGCGAGAAAAAAAACAGTAGCTTCGTGAAATTTACGATGCTTGGTATTCCAGGGTTATTGTCAAGTTTCAGGCACAGCGACGTTATAGTTAAGCAGAATCGCACAGTAACCGTCTGTTGCGTGACTCGGAAAACTCTGCAGTCTAGCAAGTTTCCTAAACATTCAATGCTATGGCTCGCACTGTGATCAAACATTAGTGTAAAACGAAATTACACTCTAATAAAACCTGAATCAAAATTTCTTTTTAGTTCACCTCAACATTAATCCGTGTAGTGTAAATCAAAAAGCCTAGGTGTTTCCTCTTTTGTTTTTCTTTGTTCTTCTTTTTTACTCTGTATCCCTCTCTTTCCCTCGATTGGCTTGTTTCTGGGCAACTAGGTCCTACCGATCGCTCAAACAATGACGAATTGTAGTACCTTCCCTCAGGATTCAATTAATAAGTGTACCAATTTTTACGTCTGTAGATAATTATTGGCATTTTTGTTTTTTGCAGATGCAATGTATGCTGGAAACGAATGCCCTCCCAAGAGGAATTGCAAGTACACATGACGCAGCATGGCAATCCTAGGTACCGCTGTCACGTGTGCAACCAGCAATTCCATAGAAAGTATCTGTTTGATAACCACTACCTACTAGAGCATGCAACTCCAGAGGATCTGGAAATCTCCAAGAAAGAAATTATCTATGACACCCTTTTAGAACTGGCAAATCAAAACCAAGAATACGCTGTGCCAGAAAGCTCAGAACAGGAACAAGATGTAGAGTAAGTAGTGTATTGTTTGACCAGTCGATTATTTTTGTAAATTCTTTAACAAATGAAATTCATGAATAATAAAGATTTTCTATTTATCTGCATTTATTTATGTGAATGTGGTAGTTCCAGCTAAGAGTTCCGCAGCCAATTCGTCAATTTCACATAGACAGCTCTTTCCTGCATCTGTCTGAGCCTACTAATTTAATTGTCCAGACTTTTATTCCCAATGAGACAGAAACCTGGCAAGACCAAAGTAACCTTGGGAAATAATTACATAAAACACATTTTACCCTAGATAAAAGTACATTTGGATTTTTTCCCATATCTATCGTCGAGTACGCCTCTAGAACACAGACGTTCCAAAGTGTATAATGGAAATTGTAGGTTGTATTAATTTATCAAAGGATGGTTAGGTCTAAATTTCTATATAGTCGTGGTTGCATGCTAATTTCTCTTAATCGGTTGAAAATTGGATATGATCAGAACTATTTGATGAATTTGCCAAATCTTGTCGGCGCCCAAATTTGCACAATACATTTGCCCTTGAAAGTTGAAATGACAATTTTTTTCGATACGCCTCTGCTTCTGATCCTGGCGGTGTGCCGATCTTGGTTAGTGTTCTTCTTCTGGTACTACTGCCGCGTTTGACCGGCCTATGTAGCGGGGAGATGCGCCGTTTCCAGATAGACTACCGGTAGAGCAGGGAAAGAATGTCTATGGACTAATTGTATGGACCTGTTTGACTTGATCCGTTTTTTTCTCTGTTATACATATTTGTAACTAACTTTTTTCTTGTGCTGAACGTAACCTTTTAGGAACGGCGTGGGAAAGTGCAGAGTGAATTTACTTGACGCCATTTTTAATAATTAAGTTTTAGTGCAAATGGGTCAGGTCAAGTTGACAAGTGGCTAGCACGTCATTATGTGTTCAGTTGAGTTTTTACAAATATTAATTTGTGCTAAAGTTAACTACTTCTCGGATCGTGGGACTATAGTAGTGAGCAACTACAAAATCTGATGAGAGAACCTCTATGAATATCCACGAGTGAAACTGGCTAAGGATACGGTAAATCGTACGCTACATCCATATGAAATGTCGGAACAATGAAACGTATTTATAATAGTACGGGAATCCAACCCGTATGATGGCGTACATCACAATTTATATTTACTGTCTGTCAAATTTATCTGACGTATCGAGTTCAATGTGAACGCGTGTGTGTGTGTATAGACACATATGTTAGAAAGAGATGGAAGCCGCCTGGATAGCCAAGCTCATCTCAGCGCGTAACACGGACGCTGCAGATTGCACGACCTTCTGCGTCCCGTTGCTAGACAATGTGGTGATGACCTTCGCTCTTCAGCCAGCTTCTATCTCTTTCTCACATGTGTACAAACACATATCTCGCGCTTCTCTCCCGTAAACATTGAATTCAAGCCGTCAGACAAATTTGGTTTTCCCTGTATAGTTTCCTATGCCAACTCCATTGCAGGAAATATCAATTCTTGAAGCAAATAAGTTTACCGTGAGTCTTCTAAAAATTGCCATGTAAACGACATAGGTACTTCCAAGAACAGACTTTTCTCTTCCAAAGATTTGGATTTCTAAGTTTTCAGATATTAAACTAATTGAGTGTATATTCAGTATAAGTGTTCAAAAGATATTTGTGTAATTTACTATTGCTAATGATGCATTATTGTATATACACATTTTTTCCTAATTGCCTATATCTGAGTGACAATATAATGGGGCGATTTGTCCATTTTAAGAAGAAAACTTTTGAGGTACAAGGTGGTAAAGTTTTCAAAAATAAATAATTAATATCTGTAAATACCTCGTTAGATATTTTTTGAAAATCGACATTCACGTACTATGAATCAAGTGGCATTTTTTAAATTCCTCCAGTGGCGTTCCTACGGCATTTCACTTGGGTACACATAGATGGTACGCCAATGACTTCTCTTAAAATAAAATTATTTTTGAAATCCCCCATCGTGCGTCGGACTAAAAAAAATCAAGAAAGATTTTGTTTGACGCATGATTTTCACTTAAAAGAGTTAAAGCTATCTATGCATGGTGTCATTAACAATATTATAATGCAGAGAAACAGTGTTTGTTTTTCTAAGCAAAAACCGTGCAGATTGAAAAAATCGTGCAATCAAATTTCAACGTCTACCAACATAGGCAGGTGAAATTCCATACCAACGCGACTAGAGAAAACTTCAAAAATGCCACTTGATAGTACTCGTAAGTGTATGCCGTGTTTCAAAAACTATCTAAAGAAGTATTTACAGATATTAATAAAAGATTATTTTTGAAAACTTTACCGCACTGTATCTCAAATTTAGAGGTTCATATGAAGTTTTCTTTTTAAAATGGACCCAAAAATCGCATCCATAAATATTGACATTCAGTTAGGACGTATATCACAAGATTTTATCAAATTCGTCTAGGTATTATCACAATAGATTCCAAATTCGATGTCGATACATCGGTAGAATTTACGGCTATCCCGAAAAAATAGTTTCTTGTCAAATTTTTACCCTAAATCCAGTCTGATAACACTTAAGAAATTTTTCACTATGATATTCATATTCAGCGCCCCAAATTTAGATGTTATAACTAAGAAGCCTACTCCATTGAAATATTTAGGTAGGTAGAAATGAAAAAATTTACAGGATTTCACACATTTAGACTTTTTCTACCATTGGCTGCTTGAGACGAGTTAATTTCCTACAAATATTTTTTTTGTATAGAGACTATATGTCCTTTTGCAGAAGGCATGTCAAAAATATTTGATCGACTCATATGCTCATGCTCGACACAGTAATAATTTATTTTACTAAATTCTTTGTTATATTTTTTAAATCTACCTTACAAAATTAAGTATGACGAAGAAACCGGATTAATATAAACAACAAATAATTAGGCTAAAAAACCTCATGGGCACAACCTGTTATCATTATCACTTCTTAGATTAGAGATTAGACAAGTTTTCCTGTATTAGGCCCCACTGCACTGTGTGCAGCTGCCATAATCATCGAGAATTTTGAGCAGTGCCTACCTGTGATACAACAGTTTTGCTTTCATGGTTTTAGAGATATGTAAAGTAAGGAAGTATGAAAGGATAATTGGTTCCCATCGGGAAATAAAGCAATGTTTCATGGTATTTTTGGTGAGTATTGCAATGAAACAAGATAGATCCTTAAATCTATATTTTAGTTTTAGCAAGAAAATATATCACTTCAACTAGTCAAATATTGTACCTCTATGAATGCTACTTGTAATGCAAAAATACAAAAATATACTTTTCAAAGGAATGCTTCTGCTAAATAATTGCTAACGTTGTAGATTTTCCTCACATACTAACAAAAAACTCAAACAGCCAGATAAACGCAACTGTCTATGCTCAAATGGGAGTCAGACATTCTTACTATCACTATTGTTTAATCTCTTTATATAATTTTAACATTCCAAACTAACAGGTGAGAGAGTATAACACTGGTACGGTCGTTTAAGTCGGGTATACAATTCAAATATTGTTAAGTAATTTGTATGTTTGCATAATGAATAATCAATATTGAACATTATTTACAATTTACATGACAAAAAAGTTCACGAAAATGTTTTTGCAAAGTACTACAATATGTTGTAATATATAATACACAATAATTATTTTGCAGTAGATAACGTTTAATATTTTATATGAATTTGTAATGTAAAAAAGCTTCATATAAAATTGCTTTTAATATCTTTACCTGTTCCTTTATTCATATTAAACATAATAATTGTACACCCTGAATTTATGGTTATGCAGTTTGATGGATAATCTCTCGTTTATATACTGCAAAATTATACAATTAATACGTAAAAAATTGACCACAAATATAAAACAATTTCAAACACATGCGAGAATATTGAGCAACACAATTGAGATATTTTTACGATCACATGATTTGAAAGCATTTGTTTTAACAGCCAATATTTCTTAGTGCTTCTGAGCTATCACACACATATGATGAAAGTTATGAAGATATGATGTATATGTTGGCATACTTGGGAAAAGCAGGTTTGGTATTCCAGTGACGTTGGCTTGTTCTTTATTTTGAACATCAAAGAGATTTACCTTTCAATTGCATAGACTTAAACTTATGTCTGTATAAGATACTTGGATATCTTCTCGTGCTAAGAACAAAAACATTTTTCATGAAAACATTTTATTGTAGTTAAAGTTGTCAACAATAGGTCTATAGCTGTGATTTTGTCCATATTTTTTTAAAAAAGTTCTATCAATCCTTCACGAGCTACTTCCTGATTGACTTGATCTCAAAAAGCCAGCTTTTACACTTTGGAGTATACTTTAGCATGATTTAATTCAAGTCGTATTTTCGCTCAAGAAAAATAAATCTTGTGTTTACCTTTACATGCAGCTTCAACACCCAAAAATCAAAGTACACTTATAAATGGTTACTTTATACATAAAAAATATCAATTCACAAGTATTAGATTTGCTCCAAAAATTTACATAACATTTAAGCTGAACATATGTGCACCTAAACATCAATGTATTCAATGCATTACAGCAAATCATGCACACTCAGTCAGATATAAGAACATGGGGTGATCGCGCTCCCACTCAACCTAAAAATGCAAAAAAAAACAATCATTCTCTTTCACACATTCATGAAAAAAATATTACTTTTCCTCCTTGGAGACGTTTAACTCGCTAATTTTCTGCGTTACTTCCTCGCATTCCTTTTCATTCTTCCCAGATTTTTCGTTATCCCGTTCTTCCTTTGAGGATTTTTCGTTGGGATTGTAATCCTCGTCCTCGCTTTTTTCAATTGTTGCATTCAGTTCGTTTTCAAACGTAGAGTTCAAAGCATTCTCTTTGTCGTCATTGCCATTGTAGAGATCACACTCTGTCAACACAATGTGCTTTGCTTCCTCAAATTTGGTTTTGAACAGCTTTGCATCTAGAAGTTGGAAAATCAGGGTTAAAGATGGTTGCTAATCCGTAAATTAATTGTTGAGATTATACAGAAATACAGGGTGTAAACGTTATGGTAGTCATTATTTAAATGGGTGATAGAGTGGGTTAAAAGAAGCAAAGAGTTTCATATAACATGGGGGTCAAAACGGCATTTTTTTTAGAAAAAAGCGACTTTAAAGTAGAATAAAATCTGACAACGCCGCAAGGCCAGACGCAGATTACCACGGAACGCAGTGTAAATAAAGATGGAGTTTGTTATTTTTGGCTCTTAGGTATTATTTCATTATTTGATAATGTACTCGTAAAATGCAAACAATTAAAAAAACGGACTTACCACTACGTAGTCATGCCATAAGTTCTGTCCCTCGTTTTCAAACAAGTGTAGACCTGTTAATACTTGTCCGATTGTTTACATTGTGGTGTCAGTTGATTAAGCGCTTTTCGGGTAATTACATATACCTCAGTTTGTATTGATCTCTCGAAGCATAACGATGGAGTGGGGCAAGGCAGAGAACCGTATTGCAGTGATAGCTTTACATAAGTGTAATCACAGTGCTAGTCAGATTTTTGAACTCTTACGCGGCCTTCAAATATCGCGTAAATTTGTGTCTAGGACCATTCAGCGGTACAATGAGACGTCCTCTGTTGATGACAGGCCAAGAAGCGGAAGACCTCGTCAAGTAAGGACTCCAGCAGCCATCAAAGCCGTAAAAGCCAGGATTCAAAGGAATCCACTCCGGAAGCAGAAGATCCTATCCAGGGAAATGAAGATTCCTGTCCGGACGATGTCGCGCATCATTAAACAAGACCTAGGGCTAGGGGCTTACCGGAGACGTACGGGCCAGCGACTTACGGCCACCTTGCGACACATCAGGGCGACAAGATCCAAGAAGCTCTTGGAGAGGTACGCAGCTGGGGGATTCCGAAAGATTTTGTTCACGGATGAGAAAATCTTCACCATAGAAGAAAAATTCAACCGACAAAATGACAAAGTGTATGCAAGGAGTTCACAGGAAGCTTCGGAGATCATTCCGAGAGTTGAGAGAGGCCACCACCCTGCGTCAGTCATGGTTTGGTGGGGGGTGTCCTACGAAGGGGTCACTCAGCTCCATTTCTGTAAACAGGGCGTGAAAACAAAAGCGGCAAACTATCAGAGCGACATACTGGATCCTATCGTCAAGCCTTTAAGTGGTACATTGTTTGCCAACCAACACTGGGTCTACCAGCAGGATTCCGCCCCCGCTCACAAGGCTAAGAGTACGCAGCGCTGGCTGGAAAGCAATGTGCCAGAGTTCATTGCTGCGGAAGATTGGCCCTCAGGGAGTCCGGACCTCAATCCTTTAGACTACAAGTTGTGGGACCTGCTAGAGCAGTTGGCCTGCTCCAAAGCCCACCGTAATATCGAGTCCCTGAAAGCGGATTTGATCCGATCAGCGGCAGCTATTCCTTTGGAAGCTGTGCGTGCAGTGATAGATGAGTGGCCCGCGAGATTGAAGCAGTGTGTGAAGGCCAAGGGGGGACATTTTGAATAAAACTGTTTGATTATGAATTCTAAAAATGTTGTCGAATAAATAATATCTTTCATATAAATATATCTTATCTTGTTTCATTTTTATCATGAGATTATCATGGGACAGAACTTATGGCACGACTACGTAATTGTCTCAGCGCTTCACCTGGTGTGTGAAAGTTTATTGAACGTATTAAAAAAATCCACTTATAAATAGGGAACACAATTTTGATACATACATTGTTTTTCTTTTTAAAACTCACACTGCACTTTTTTGTATATAAAGAAGGTGTTCAAAATGTCGTCCTCCACTTTCCACACAAGGTCCATTACGACGAACCCAGTTTCTTCTTACTCTAGATCCTCGAAGTTGTCCATTTATTATTTCAGCCGCATTAAAATTTGTTTCGCGAAGTTGTGCTTCAGTTGTTATTGGATCAGCCCCATAAATCATCCCTTTAAGTTCTCCCCAATACCAGAAATCCATCGGATTGAGGTCAGGAGATCTTGCTGGCCATTTTCAAGGATCAGGAGCATTTCGACCGATCCACCGATTTGGATAATGTTCATTCAAATACTGAATGACGCCTCTAAAAATGTGTGGTGGTACCCCGTCATGAAGAAACCACAAATTCTGTCTCCGTTGTAATAGCATGTCGTCTAAGGTCTGTTCCAAAAGTTCTGGTAGGTTGTTGGCTAGAAAGCTAAGGTATCCTTCTCCTGACAACTTTGGGGGTAACTCGAAAGGGGTAATTACCTGATCGTCAAGAATACCCGCCCAAATATTTATTTTAAAACGTTGTTGGAAATGACCACGAATAGTATGAGGATTTTCTTGGGCCCACGTGAGTATTATGGAAATTTAATATCCCGTCTCGCGTTAAAGTACATTCGTCCGTCGCTAGAATGGTTTTTAAAAAAATCCGGATTTTCAATGTTTTTGTGCAAAAACCACAGAATGAAAGTCTGCGTGGATAGTCTTCTGGTAACAAGGCCTGCACTCATTGTACATGGTAGGAATGAAGCAAATTTTCCCGTAGGATTCTATGGACTATGGTATGGGATAGTCCTACGCGGCGGCCTAATTCCCGAGAGCTGCATTGATTTCCACGATACATATTTAAAATTTGTTCGACCTGCTCTACAGTAGCCTGTCTTTCACGAGTGCGAATATTAGTGGGCTGAACACTTCCTGTATCTCGAAGTCTGGGTGTAATCGTTGGCGAAATCTGTCGCGATAAATTTGAGCTGCAAGATTTGAATTCTGACGAACTTCACCGTAAACTAACAACATGTCGGCGAACTCTTGATTCGAGAACATTGTAAACAAACACGAGTACGCGAACAAAAACAAAACACGCCCGATGCCCGATAACTAACCACTGTTACCGTTTGCGATCCATTGCCGGCTCGATAAGAGTGATGACGACGCGCTGTTGTCATGTGTGTTTTAAATATTTAGTTTAATGAAACTTATTTACTGACTACAAATTTTAGCTTAACTTAGAAAAACTTAATGCCATTTATTTGTTAATTAGCCAATTTAAAAACGTTTTAGATTAGGTTATAAAAATTAGTAAGATTGTGGTCATTGCGGTCGATATAAACCACTCAAAGTTGTAAACTATAAAGCCATTTAGACAAAAATCTATTGACTTTTGGACCATGGGTCATATGAACTTTTTGACTTGTTTTGACCCACCCTATTACCCATTTCAATAATGACTACCATAACATTTACACCCTGTATAATGTCAGAATTAAAATTTCCCCAAGCTCCACCTTTACCGGGACGCCATGGCAACGTCGCTAGCATCACCTACTAAAATATACAGTTAGACTACAGATGCTGCTCACGTCGACATGGCGACCGAGTGAGAGGATCTTAAAATCTCCATACATAAGGGGCTGTTTATCTCTCCGCGATGCTTATCGCCATCAGACTCAATTGAAAGTTGTCTCTTTCACTATTCTAATCTTTGATATATTTTCAACATACATTGTCAACTGCCACACTCTCCTTTTACCTTTCAGATGTCTCATTTTACATTATACTCTTCCCTTTCTTTATATACCATTCTTTCATTTCTGTTTACTTCTTTCACTCAGTCTCTCTCAAAGAACATCCTACAGATTAGTATTGAATATATACTATATATTTGTATTGGATGCCTAAATACTACATTCAAAAACACGAAAGTAGAGAAACAAAAGTACACAACTGATTTCCAAAACATAGTTTTGATTCATGTATTTTAATCTCAACTAGAGATTTTTTGCTTATACAAGTCTCACCCTTCAGTATCATTTATTTAGCACATATATTAGAAAGACTTATTGCCAATTCTAGGAAACCTGACTGCAAAACACTCTGACTTTGACTTCTCATCAGCAAAATCAGCCAGGACAGTATAAATGAAAGCTTATGAAAAGCTTTTCCACTGTTTGTATTAGATTTCAGCTCCATCCAGGGTGTGATGAAATGATTAGCACATACGTTCAACGTTTTATCTCGGCGCATAACAACACGTATAGAATTATTCTAATTGTTATGCAGGATTTTCATTTCTCCAGTTTCCCTTTCCTATAAAGATCAATTTCAGGTATATAGAGGTCATTCCACGTTTCCTCACTAGGATCTTTGTGAGTGTCCATCTATGGAGGAATGGCTCAACTACACAGCATTGTTGCTTGCATATATTTTGTGAAGCCAAGTAGTCTATAGTTTTCATCTCTGAGAATAAAGTTGGTTGAATAGCAAGATCGCATCTGGATGATTATGTGTATCGGTCTGCATGTGTATAAAATCAGTGATATATTTGCTGTGTGAGAAAATTATTACTGAATATGCTGCCAATGAAGTATATGTATTAGCTGTGGCCGATGGGTTATTTATATGTTCTGAAGACAAGTTGATTACGATTTTTTACGTTTTTTTTGTGCTTTCAAATACTTTGAGGAGAATTACGGGAAATCAGCACCGCGCTCGCGTTGTGCGTAATTACTGTTATCATGTATATGACTTGTAATTCGACAGTGTAAAGTGAATTTAATTATTTTTTATCTCTCTCATTTTTTAGATTCAGCAAATTTGCATATGTAATTTCCAAAGGATAAGAAAAAGTGGATGCGCAACTAATTTCCAGCTTTGAATTTTAAGTAAGTGTATTTGAGACAAAAATCCAATGAAATTATCATCAACATAATATTAGCACGCCAATCCTCACTATGCACCTATGCATTGCGGTTACTTCCATTAATGCCATCTCTGAAGCAGATTTTATATCTTATCAGAGCCAAACATTGATAACTGAAGCCTCATGACGTTTAGGCAACACGTACAACTACAAAACGAATTCACGGGTCCATGAGCTAGTGCTAAGTTAACATCTTGTATAAAAACCTACATAATGTCACAAAAACCAATATAATGTCAAAAAAAAACGATTTAATGTCACTTTTCAGGATACGTAATACCCGTGCCGGTTTGAGACGGCGCTAAAATCTCCATGCATAAGGGGCTGTTTACCTCCCCGTGATGCTAATCGCCATCAGACTCAATTGAAATTTGTCTCTTTCACTACCCTATTATATATTTTTTTTTATACTCCAACTACCACGAAGGCCTAAGGCCTAAGCACCCATTGGGTACCGTGGGGCTATGGGGGATACATGGGAAAGGGGGGGACGCCACACGGACTCTGGTGAGGGAACACGTGTGCATGCAACATGCACACATTCTGGCTCCGCCTACGAGAACCGCCGGGTGGTACCTCCGCGTTCGTCAGTCAGAGACCATCTACCACCTACGGACAATCACAACATCCATGGCCAAGAGAAACATTTCTCATGGGACGGGACTCGAACCCGCACAGCGCACGGCGGCTGATCAGGAGACCGAAGAGTCTACTACTGCGGCCACCGCTGCTGCCTAAAACAAACACACAACATCCATGGCGAAGGCGAGATTCGAACTCGCGGCCCGGCCGGCCGGCTGATCAGTAGCACGACACTCTGACCCACGCGGCCAACCGAGGTCCAGATATATATTTTCCAATATATGTTCGACATACATGGCCAACTGCCACACTCTCCTTTCACCTTTCCAGATATCTCATTTTACATTATACTCTGCCCTCTCTTTCTATACCATTCTTTCCTTTCTGTTTACTTCTTTCACTCTGACACCTACTGTTTCTCTCCATTTCTCCCTTAAAGTACCTCATACTGATTAGTATTGGATTGTCTATATGTATATATAGTATATATTAGTATTGGATGCCTGAATACTACATTAAAAAGATGCACGAAAGTAGAAAAACAAAAACAATTCAAATTTTTGTTTGACTGTTTAATTAACCCTTTGACTTAGACCGGTCAAAGTACACAACTGATTTCCAAATCATAGTTTAGTAAACTTTTTATTCATGTCTTTTATTCTTAACTAGAGGTTTTTTGCTTATACAGATCTCACCCTTCAGTATTTAGCAAATATGTATATTAGAAAGACTTACTGTCAATTGTAGGAAACTTGACTGCAAAACATTCTGACTTTGGCTTCTCATCAGCAAAATCAGCCAGGACAGTATAAATGAAAGCTTTTTCACTGCTTGTACTAGATTTCAGCTCCATCCAGGGTGTGATGAAATGATTAGCACATACTTTCAAGGTTTTATCCCGGCGCATAACTACACGTACAGAATTATTGTCATTGTTACGCAGGATTTTCATTTCTCCTGTTCCCCTTTCCTATAAAGGTCATTTTCAGGTATACAGAGGTAGAGGATCTCAAAATGAAAAAAAAAACAAATTGTTCCAAAAGCGATGCCAGGTAAACTCAGATTGCATGCCCATGGCAAGTTGTCATAATGACAGTGACAAGCTAAAATATAAAGGTTGATGAGAAAATTTTCAAGATGGTGAGCCAAAACTTAAAAAAACGTATGTCTCTGAGATTACACACTACCACACATGCTAGAAGATAAGTTTATGAAAATAATTCCTATAGTTATATTGTGATCTACTAAAAACTGTGAAAACCCATAGTTCAATGATTTTGTCATTACCAAAGCCTTGTTTATACCGCACTTTGAGAGTCAATTTTCTGAATACCTTCTAGTCATATGTTTGCAATGATGTGATTGATCAACCATATTTCTCATTGTGTCATAATGGCTACATCTTGTTTATTCTGTTCATTCCATTTGTTGTTGTTTTTTAAAATTTCATAGATGTTTCAAAAGTTTTATTTCGGATTTTCATTGTCTATACAATTTTTGAGATCACAACGTTTCGATCGATAATTTATCTTCAATCGTCTTTAGCTGAACTGACATACATACATGTTCTTTCCACGGCTATTTGTTTTCGCTGACGTGCCCTATGTGATGACATGTCCTGGGTGATGTGGCTGGTCGGTGGTCATGACGTGTTCTCCGGGAGGTCTACTTTGGTTGTTCTAACCGTAGTGTCTTGTTGCTGCTGATAGGCTCCCTTATTGGTTTGATGGCATTACTATACACGTTGCTGTTGCTGGATATGTATGCTGCCTCCTTGAATTTTCAGCGATATCAGTGTGCTTCTTTATGTATGATCTTGGTGTCTTCCCAGTTTATTTCATGGTGTTCCCTCCATGCTTGTTCTGCTATCCCTGATTTCTCCGTTTCGGCCCGTTGAGTGTGAAGTTGGTGCACCTTTATCCTCACAGCCAGTGGTCTCTTTGTCTCCCCAATGTACACTTTTCCACATTCACATGGAACCAGGTATATGCAGTCCTTGATGTACTGGGTTTGGTTTTTATGAGAATGCTCCATAGTCTTCTATTCTTTGAAATTCTGGTTTTGATGTGGTACTGCTTCCTGATTCTTCCCGATACTAGAAATGCCTTCCACTTACGGTATGATGAGGGTGACTGCTGTTTATCCTATGTACTTCTCCTGATTGTTCTCTTGCATAACTTCTTTTACCATTCTTCTTGGGTATCCGTTTGTCAGATCTTCCTTAATCTTGCGGGTCGACTAAAGTTGTGTGTGTGCTGTAGATGTCCTTAGCTCTATCAACGAGAGTTGGAATCATTTCTTTCTTTGTGGTCGCAGTATGGCTTGAATAATAATGTAAGTACTGACATGTGTGTTGGTTTCCTGTATACTGAGGTTTCTATAATATCTGACCATTGTTCTTCATCACTCCAACATGCAGGCTATTGTCGACTTCCTCTTCTATCGTAAACGTTATCAACGGTCTTAGGATGTTGAGGCAGTGGCGGGTTTAGGGGGGGGGGGCGCCTAAACGTCTGACACTTGATTTTGTAATCCAACACCATTGTGTTACCTTCTGACACATCATGGCGACAAAGTCATACTATGAGTTATAGCTATAGGAACTGAGCATTGCGATTTTATGGTATTCCAAATGCTATACCTCTTTGACATCACTTACGTTTACAGCAAAATTCTTACAATTTACTCGTATATAGGAGTATTGTGACTTGTGACAAATCTAAGTCTGAGTTATATTAGCTATAGAGATTGCACTTAAAAAAGTGATTTATGTTCTGTTTGTTGCTCAATAGTAATTTGAAATGTGTGTAAAGCTAGAGTGATTTTGTTCGGGGTTGGTGTTGCGTAGATCGATGCTCAAAGTCAATACCACACGTCTTGCATCTCTTTCCGCATATGTATCTATTTATGTTGCTAAATTTAATTCGTTTGAATCACAGAGCTTCTGTACTACACGTGAATATGTACAGCCCTCTATTCCTCTACTTGTTTCGTACGAACATACATTATCAAAATAATAACGATATAACAGATATAGTTTTTTCCAAAGATTTTCAATATTGTTACATGCGATCAACACCGATTCGAAAACTAAGAAAAGAAAAACTATGCTGTAAGTCTAAGTTCGACAACGAAAGTCTGAGGAATAACTGTAACATTTATATTGAATTTAAAAAAATAGTTGACTATACCTATTGATATTTTTATCACCTGCTGATATAATGAAAGTGCTTGATTGTGTTAGTATTTGCACCAATTACTTCATTTGTTTAATCGGCAGTTCACAGTCTTAATCCTTAAGCCTAGTACATATTAGTAGACCCCGTTGCGCAATTTGTCTATAGGCAGTCTGGAGACTGGTGTCAAGACACGATCTATGGATGGTTTATATACATCCTCATTTGTCTCGCCTAGCGACCATACGATAATGTGAATTGTTCGGTCTCTCGTTCGTTTTTACCATCGAATTAATTGTTTTGTGTAGAATGGACTGAGACATGGATCTGGGTCCCTCAGAATGTTTTTTTTTTCGATTAATAGAGCACTGAAATTTTTTAAGTTTAGATCTTTAATATTACTACACTAGTTAATTATAAATGCCACATACTTATTTTGTTCTCATATAATAAAATATTGCCTTTCTGAGAATTTTTAAGCATTTACAATGTTTATTTTTTTCAAGCTGGCATTGACCAGATAGAACTCAATGGATTTAAGGAGCAATAATAGGATAAATTATAGAAGTTCCACTGAGGTTGAAAAATGACCAGCCCCAAATATCGTTTGCGCCCCCCTAGACGAAATCCTAAATCCGTCCTTGTGTTGAGGTGTTCAAAGAATTTTCGCAGCTGGTCGTTTCCATGGATCCACATAATGAAGGTATCGTCCACATATCACAGCCATAACTTCGTTTTTATTTCTGCACTTTTCATGGCCATCGACAAGTCAGCCATTCAAGCTTGTATCTGGGAACCTATCCATAGTAGAGGGTTGTGGCAAAGACAGTTATTACAAGGCCCGTATCGGCAGTCGCTCCTACAATTGTAGGACGCGTTTATGGCCTCCTTGATTTCGATAATATTACGTCTTCGTAGTTAAGGTACATGTATGTCCTGCTTTACATTTCTAGTCTCCTGTCAATCAGAAGTCAATTGTGATGTTAGGTTATGTTTCTTTTTTGACAGATGAATCAAATGCCGAAGGATATTTTCTTGCAAATAATGTTGATCATTCAATAATAATTTCCTACATTGAACAAATTCGTCAGGCTGTAGTATCTTCAAGTCCTATATCTGGTATTAATGATCTAAAATCAACAATTTAATGCAAATGGATGTGTATTTATATACAGGGTGTTTCAGTTTATTGTTGCATAACTTTAAGATTAAATAGAACTTTTAAAATTAATGCATAAAGTCTATATAAACATGGGTCGAAAAATGCGTGGCTTCCGAAATACAGGGTGTTTAAATTTACTTTTTAAAATAGTTTTGTTTAAATATTTCGAACAATATTTGATGTATAACAGTGAAAATTGGTATACAAGGGTTTTTTGGTACGACAAAACGAACCATGGGTACAGTTTTACTGTAGCCGCTAGAGGGCGCTCTCTGCTGTACCTGTAGCGTATTAAAATGACCGAAAATTTGTTCTTAGTGCAATTTTTTGCTTTTTGAATAAAAAAACTGATTCTTCGCACTTTTCAACATAAAAAAGCTCTCTTGTGAATTTTTGTTATAGTTAACCGTTTTTGAGATATTTCGATTTTTAAGGTTCGATGCATTTTTAATTATTTATGGGAAAATAATATTTTTTTTTAATTTTCGATTTGGGCATTACAAGTAATTAAGATGATCGTTTAGATTGTGTTTTTAAACACAGCAATAATTCCTAACTCCAAATAAACACAAAAAAAACAGAATATTAATTTGTTTAATTTTCCAATATTATTTTTAACAAATTAAATTAATTATTTACAACTGAAATGCTATGGATAGTTAGGACAAACATACAAAATCTAAAGTAGTTGCTCGAAATGTAAACCCAATTGTTCAATACACAATTCACATCTACGAATGATCGAACGTGGTATAGCATTATTCAAATAAGGCCTTATTTCATCACATGCATTCCTGATTCTGTCTATTAGCATATCTCTTGTGGTTACGGGAGTCTGGTACACTTTTTCCTTTAGAAATCATACTTGTGGTCGGATCTCTATCAAACTCACGCAGAATCAATCATTTATGTTTTGATACCTTTGGAGATTTCGAAAACCATTTTCAATTATTTGGCGATGCACTCTTACAAATACTGAGCGAGTTGGATGTCGTCTGTTTGGAAATCTTCGTGCGTATTCTCTGGCTGCTTCTGCTGCGTTTCCATTTACATAGCCATACACAAAATGAATATCCGCTAACTCTTGATTGGAGAATAAAAATGGCATTTTTATAAAACTTAAAAAAAACAGGTAAAAGAAACTAAATTTCGTGCATTCGCAATTGCAAAAAAACGTTTCAGGTTTCAACAGACAACAAAACTAACTGTCAACTAATTGACCTTATTCAGCTTTCAATTTCAAAAATATTTGCAGGCACAGCCTACTTCTAAAAATTAACGTTATTTTATCATAAATAATTGAAAATGCATCGAACCTTGAAAATCGAAATTTCTCAAAAACGGCTAACCATAACGAAAATTCACAAGAGAGCTTTTTTATGTTGAAAAGTGCGAAGAATCAGTTTTTTTATTCAAAAAGCAAAACATTGCACTGAGAAAATTTTGTCGGTCATTGTAATACACTAAAGGTACAGTAGAGAGCGCCCTCTAGCGGCTACAGTAAAACTATGCCCATGGTTCGTTTTATCGTATCAAAAAACCCTTGTATACCAATTTTCACTGTTATACATCAAATATTTTTCGAAATATTTAAAAAAAACGATTTTAGAAAGTAAATTTAAACACCCTGTATTTCGGAAGCCACGCATTTTTCGACCCATGTTTATATAGACTTTATGCATTATTTTAAAAGTTATATCGAACCATAAAGTTATGCAACAATAAACTGAAACACCCTGTATATTTGCCTAACAGCTTACAATAAAGCTGTTCCTTGATGAAGCTGGTAAGTTACAAAAATTTTAAACATTGCATATTCATATTTATATATATACTTATCGCATTTTTTTCAGATGTGGTTCGTTCTCACAGACTTTATGAGATGTTGGATAAGAAACATTGTATCTGAAGTGCAACTGCATTGTTGATGTGGGAGATGGCTGTCACAAATCATTGTTAGACTTTGGAGGATTGCATGGTGTCAGGCTACAAGTATGTATAATGTGTAAATGCTCTGAAATTGAGTTTAAACATGCCCTGCCCTATCTGGTATTTTTTTATATTAGTGGGAACCTTAACCTAAAAATTTTGTAGCCCACACCAATGTGTAAAATTTTATCTATACAACTTTTCGCAGATACAAACCATCGTGATATTGCATACAAAACTCATATCATCTATTTTAGAAGGATAAAGAGGCGAGTGATCTTCCTAAGAATGGAATAAGTGAATTTGCTTTTTGTGACTGACATGTGTTACGCTGCAATTTGTAAATTAAAGGTAGGCATAAGCCTGTATATTCATAAAAGTTAAAAGCTATTGAGTTCAAGAGGAGCTTTGTTATGCCTGGGAAGGGGGTTCTCAAATGTCTAATGGCTAATGTTGCATGTGAGAGATAAAATGTCACATGAACCCTGATAAAGTGGCTATTTGAATATTGTAATCAACATTTCTATTTGACAAAATCTCACAAAGCTGATGCCATAGGTTAGATAAGAATTCAGTGATCTTGCAAAAATGCTATATGAAATACATACTTTAACACTTATGGTTATATCGGTACTTAGGAGTAAAACATAAGAAATCACCATTACTTATATGTATAATACTATTTTTTCAGATCTACTTGCATTGCTCAAAGAACATCCAATCCTGATGAGCCCAGGGTACAAGATATTGTTCCAAGACAATAACTCCAGTGTAAGGAACGTTATTAGAGGGAAAAAAGTGTCAATGTATTTAAATTGGATATTTCAAGAAGTTTGATACCTAGAGTTAATTAACTTTCCAAAATGATCTAATGTACCCCCAAACTAGAAAGATTTATTTGCAATTGATTAGATATCCTTTTAGCCCTGTTTACATAGCTTGTAATTTAGAAAATAGCATATAATCTAGTTAGGATAAAAAATTAATGAAATCTATATTTTTTGAACGAACCTATTGTATTTCTGTGGGTATACAATGTAGAATAAAAAATATTTATTTTACCAAGTATTCTGTTATTTATACTCTGCAAGAAGCAACTGGAAAATATGATACATGAAATTGTTAAGGAATTCACAGATCGTATATCAAAATACCTACGTATCAGTATCCAACTGAAGTCTTTATATCTAAAAGGTACAAATAATAACAGGAAATATGAACAAATATATAGTCAAAAAAACATATCCAAAATGAAAAGCCCAAAAATAGTTCTTTTCAACTAGCTCACGATTGTTAAAACCAGCTTAGCTGTTTCGAAGATTGCAGGTTTTTTTATGGAAACTTTTGAATACCTCATACCACTGTTTTTTAGAGATACAGCGAAAATAACAAAAGTTCACATTATCCTCAACTTTAAACATTTGGTATTTTTTTTTCTTATGTGAATATAGCAGGATTCACAGAAATATCATGATTGCAGTTACGTCCCCTAATGGCCATTTCAGAACTTGAAAATATTTTCCAGGTTTTTCTCTTGGCCGTTTTTGCTGCAAGCCTGTATGACGGATAGGTTCCCAGATACAGTACCAAGCATTCTTAGTTAGTCAGTTGGCCACCCTGTACATAGAATTAATTCTTCTTTTACTTGGAAGTAGTTGCTCCTCAAATGTTAACAATTGGTTCATTCTTTCTTCTACGTCTGGATCTTCTCTGAATTTCTGTTCAATTAACAGTAAGACCTCTGCTATGGGAATGTTGGTGTATAGACTTTCAATGTCAAAACTGATGAGTCAATCTTCTGGGTTTATGCTGGTTTGTGCAGTACTTCCACACAAAGTGCTTAGAGTCTTTGATGTAGGATGAGACACATCAGCGATAACATTATAAATAGCCATGGAAGGAACAGGTATGCTAGTTTACTATATCCTTCAGCAGTATTTATTTGATTTTATAAAAAAAACTAATATGTGACTAAAACACTACTTTTGAAGTAATTTAGGTATCAATTTTCAATCAAAATTGGTCAACTTTACACCCCATGAAATAATTATTTCTCCAGAGAGTTTTCCTCCAATAAGCCTTGCTCTTCTCCACCTTCAGAAACAATTCCAAATTGCTTGTGCTATATAAGCACCACATACTTTTAGTGATGTTTTGTTTTCCTTTGTTGACCATTCAGTTTGTCTGTCATATTACAATCAGCTACGAGGGATGTCTTTTAAGTTTTGCATATGGAAATAAAACAACACGGTTGGTAGTTTTAAATGACTTTATTGTTTTTCGAAGTATTCTCCATGATGATTAATACACATCTGCATGCGCTCGAACCAATTTTCGATGCACTTATTCCACTTGTTTGCTGACAGATCCAAAACAGCATTTTTGAATGCGTCAACTGCTTCTTCTGGTGACTGGAACCTTTGACCACACAGTCTGTTTTTAATTTTCGGGAAAGTAAAGAAATCGTTAGTACTTAGATCAGGGCTATATGGAGGATGGTCCAATAATTCCACGTTTTCTTCCGTTAAATACTGCCTTGTTTTTTGGGTTGTGCGCGAGCTTGCATTGTCTTGGTGAAGGATGATTCTTCTTTCGGGGTTGATTTTTCGCAGCTCGGTGATGTCTTTTGGCAAACAAATGGTGGTATACCATCCGCAGTAACAGTTCTTTGCTCATTAAGAGGAATTGTTGCAATATGACCCGCTTTTGACACAAATGTCGTGACCATCTTTTTCGAAACACTTCGAGAACGGATGACTTTTGTTGGCTTTACTTCACCTTGTAACACCCAAACAGCCGACTGTCGTTTATTTTCTGATTCATAACAGTAAATCCACGATTCATCACCACTAACAATGCTGTACACATTTTTTGAGTTTCCGGAATTGAAACGGTCAAGCATTTTTTGACACCAATTAACCCTGGCTGCTTTCTGCTCGTCAGTCCAACAGTCCGACGAGAAACTAATTTTCTTACTCCTAATTCTTCATGTAACATTTTTTGAATTGAGGTCTGTGAGATTCTCAAGGACGCCTCAATCTCGCGATATGTTGCGCACAGCTTCGACGTTTTCCTGGGTGACTGCCGTTTTTGGTGCACCCACCCTGGGATCGTCGCTAAGACTCACCCGTCCACGTTTGAATTCTCCATACCAACGGGAAATTGTCGACTGATGTGGCGCTTCGTTGCCGAAAACAGTAACTCAGCAAGGCATTTTTGTTGCGATAATTGTCTCTGAAAGTTGTAATAAATTATGGCGCGAAAATGTTCTCGGTTGAGTTCCATTTTTCTAATGACTTGGTGACACTTAAAAATTCACTGTAGTGAGAACACTGCACGTATTGTTGTGAAACTTTGAATTATGAATTTAGGTTTACTAAAGAGTGAGGTTAAGATTCAGTATTGACGTTCGAACAGCGCGGACTACTACGTTTCTATATGCAAAACTTAAAAGACATCCCTCATAAGAGAGTTCCAATGTCACAAACAGAAGTGGCAGCCTATGCAACTTATCCTTATCAGTTTGTTTGTATATGTATTCATTTATTACCTTCCATTCTGGGGGGTCATTGGCCGAGTCAAAACGATACAATTTGGCACGTATTTTCAACAGCACCGTTTCGTTCTCTTCATTTGTGATCACTTCTACCTCGGGCAGGCTGATAATAGGCTTGAATTGGGGGTCGAATTCAGAGTCGCTACACTCGCTCTGCTTGCGCTCCTTCTCATCGCTTGCATTCTGCAAAGTTTTAGGTTAAAACAGCGTGCTTATTATTTTTGTATAATAATAACTGATAATTCATCATTATCTACTCACCAATATCTCACTCTCACTCATTCTCGCACCTTAAACTAAAAAGTTGCCCTGAAAACTATTATATTGCGTAATATTTTTCTTTTCACAAAAATAACGAACTTTCGGGCATGGAATGAGGAAAACGGGAAGAGCATTGACTAGTGCATGACGTTTAGATCATTAGCTGGCAAAGGTTTGTTCTGCCTAAAGCGCAGGACCGTGTCCAAGATTTTATATATCTCAGAACTACACGTGGAGGCGCAGTGATAGCCCTGCAGTGAATTAGATAAATTATAAAAGGGTGATTGTATATATTATACATGTTTTGTATATTGGCGCCTTTTATTTCTCCCACCTCTTATCACAGTGGATGTGCCTTTTTCTCTCATGATGTTTATTATTTTGTTTCTATTCTAAACGTACAATAAAAAAAACCAAGTAACATCTGTAGGTAAAATATATATTTTTGCTATAATACACAATACCGAATGCATTTATACTCTGGAATCAGATGGACAACCTTCTCTAGAAGCCATATAACTTGCTAAATCAAAAATTCTGCTGGCAAAGCCAAGTTCAGAATCGTACCAGGCATAAACGTTTGAGATACGCTTGTCTATTGAAATTCCTGACTTTGCATCCACTATGCAGGAGTTCGTATTCCCAATCATATCACTACTGGTCGCAGATTCCTCTGTAAATCCTACGATTCCCTTCATATACGATTCTGAGGCTTCCTTCAATCTACACTTTATGATATCGTAGGTTGCCTCTTTTCTTAACCTATCCAAAACAAAATGCATTGCAGTGTAAAATGTTGTGGTAGTGGCTGCTTACTTAAGTAACAGAAAATACAGATTTGATGTTAACATTTGAAACATCGTCGATGTAAACTCACTGAAAAAAACCATCTTGATCGAAAACCTATGGAATTCTATAAAATACATGTCACCAGAATCATCTATCATCAGAATAAATTCATAATGGATTCCTACGACTCTTTGAGACACCACATATTTTTAATCATAATCATATACTTATTTTTTTCTGAGGGGAACAACGAGATACTTCTTCAAAGTCAATATCAGCATACGCGTCTATACGCGGTATTATCAAAGATCTTTTCCTTGTAATTTAAGTTCGGGAATGTAATATTCACTTTCTCCAAGGATATGGCCTTTTCTTTCCTTAACGATGTCAAGGAGTTTTCGTTCGTAGACTGCAGTTCCTGGTATTTCTTGATTTGCCACATGTGCAATCCAGGGCACGTGTAAGAGGCTTCGGATAATCAACATTTCAAAAGCTTCGATGCGGTTCAGGCTTCTAACTTTGAAAGGCTACTGCTCTGCACCGTATAATAAAATCAAACAATCAGAAGACTGCGAGCTAATAAGCTTTTTTGAGTTTGAAAATTTTTGTTTTTGCGTGATTAATTCTAAGTTTAACTTCATCATCGTCCCATATTTCGTTAATCCTTGCACCTAGGAATTTGAGCTCTATAATGTTACCATCGACCGTCAAGTAGGTATTTATTAAGGGTTGACGGCCTATTACCACGAGTTTGGTTTTTGTGGCGCTGATTTCAAGCCCAAAACATCTACCCACGGCTTCTATTCTGACCATCAATTGCTGGAGAGCATCTAAAGTTAGTGCTAGAATTGCCGTATCGTCGGCATATCGTATATTGATTATGGGAACTCCATTATATTAACTCTGATTCATCCACTTTAACCTTCTAGAGCCTATTCAAAGATCTTTTCCACGTGTATATTCAAAAGTAATTCTAAAAATATAGAGTCCAGACGGACTCCTTTATAGACATTAAAATTATGTACACGTGGAATGAGGATAAGTCTCTATTCCGTCTATCTTTGCGGTTTCTGCTATCTAGAGATCTTGCTAACACTCACCGGAAATTGACTGTACATTATTCCGACCTTATATTCCGATTAGTATTGAGATGCGACAAGTGACATAAAGGAATCTGTGTAGAGGGCGCAATGCTGGTCGCATGCTAACTCACGATCTCACGAAGATGTTCGTCTTGGGCAAACGGGGTCCATCGTACACATATTTGCGATTCAGGTCTAGAAAGGTAATTTTCGCACAAAAAAATTGCAGACTTGGGCGTCTAGATGATGGTGCGGTAGGTCGCCAATGCGTATATCATGTCTTCCTCTCTATGTCATATTATCGGCTGCAGTTGGATAGCAGCGTCGGTCTGGCTCATACATTTCTTAACCTAACATCTAGGTTATTTAAGAGAGAATGAGTATGCGTACGTGTAAGGAAAATTTGCTCATTTTGATGGAAATTATACGCCATTCAAAGGAAAGCTCCAACTCTGAGAACACCCTCTATATACTCATTTGAAAGTAACTTTAAAACATGTGTCTGGATCATTTTTTTAAAAAAGTATTTTTTGATAGTGCGTTTTTTTTTAAATGATATATAAAAGTATCTTCTGAGTTCCAAGGTACCTACATATTTAATTCTAGATTATATGGTAGAATTCATTTATCTACGAACGTCACTAATAGATGAATTTCTTATTCTTTCCTCTTCCCTCATACTTTCTCTTTTTCCTTAACTATGCCTGGCTTCTGGATAATCAGGTAGACAGATTGACAAACTGCCCGACATAATTTGATATGGACCGCCGTGACAGACAACGAAGAAACCAAAACCGCTTGTAACTTACCTTACAGTCAAACTGACGGCACCAACTATTGGTGCACAGACGCGGATGGCTGTACTTGCGTTTTTTCCTTCAAGTTCTGGTATAATTCTGTTAACGAAATCTGGAGTAGTGAAGGGAACAATCGGTGTGAACGTATTAAGGATGGATCTGGTACCTCGACAAGAAAGCCCTGTAGTCCCATCTAAGATATTGTCACTGTTGGTGACAGGCCTTATGACTCTTGACATTGCTTGCTAAAATTACAAATTGAAATATGCATATCAAAAATCATTGTATGCTATATTGGCCTACTTAGGTAAAAAACAGTAATGTCCATTCGCTGTCTTTTTTAAATTTTGATGAAAATTATAGATGAAGTGATATCAGATGATAACTCAAGTGTAAATGCAATTATCATTTTACACTCCGACTGAATTTAATTTGAAGGTTTTGCTGCTTTTAATATCATACCTCGATACTGAAGTGTTCATGAAGAATTTTCAACAGAGGCAGCAGTGCATTCATGCAAGGAGTTCCCGCAGATACAACTTTCATATCTAGCTCATAACAAGTTTGGTTTACGCCAAAAATAAAAATTGGTACACTTGAGCAACCCGTCACGATTACCCTTTTTACTCCTCCTACTAAAAATTTCTAAAATAAAATAATTCATTATAATATTATATGTATTGATTGCCATTTTATAAATTGCAGTAATACAATAAAAGCTGTCATAGATGGTTAACAAATTGAGCTTAAAGGCTGATCAAGTGCTTTATGTTAATTGTATAACTGAATCCAATAAACAGTATGCAGCAGGCCTTAACTTACCGATGCATTCTGACAATTTGAATTCTGTCCTGTTGTATCGATAATGTAATCTACTTTATTTTTTGCCCAAGGGATCTTTTCAATGTTGGGTTCTTGGGTTATCTCAACCCTCACACCTGGAATGTATAAATTTGTTATACTGTTCCTGAAATCCAAAAGCCTGAACCTTGCACTTAATAACTTGAGTTTTATTTAATGGTATTATATATCTATATGTGTCACTTATTTCTAGCGATCCTTCTAGAAGCTGATTATTGGTGGACTACTCTAAATGTAAAAGAAAGGTGAATTAACTAATCGCTTATTCGTTAGACAAATAGATTTTTCAGTTATACTCAGAATGCTAATTTACCATTCAACATGAGTGAACATCCCATTTCTACAATGTCTATTGATGACTTCCCATAGAAAGAATCATGTTTCACAGCGTATGCTAGGCAATCCGGGTTTATCGCGGGATCGTTCACCATAACTACTGTACCGACGTCGCCACATCCTTTCTGAAAACATAAGTCATAGTTAACATGTAAAATTATAGTTTTCTGTTAGAGATATTTGCATGTCATTCTACTATCTGGTGATTTGAACTTGTTTATATTCAGCAGATATTTATAGAAGCTGCACATGTTTATGATCTGTATACACGAATTCCATGATCCGAGCATTGTTCAACTTTGAGATTATACAAAACCTTAGATTAATAAGAAACATTCCTGTTATGTCCCACTAAAACGTGTTGTATTGTACTCTAGAATACTCGCTGTGAAAGCTATATATCAAATTTGCTACATACCTCTTGTGCCTTACGGAAGGCTAATTTCAATAAAATTCTACCTAATCGTCCAAAACCTTGTATTCCAATTTTGACCATTTTTTTGACTTGCTTCAGAGCTGCTAAATGTCACTTTTGGCAAGTATTTGAAATGTAAAATTTCGATTACCGCAACTATACACCTACTTACGATAGAATAAACATAGTTATTTACATAACAAGTGCGGATAATGATAATTTTCCGCACGCGACGGCAGTTGCACGAACGATGCGAAAATGCAATTTCCGCAAGTGTTAGGTATAAGATTTTTGCTAACAGCGCAGCGCGAGAAAATAATAAATCCAGAATTTTAAATACGCACTATGTTTTATTAGAAATTTAATAATTGTAAGATCAACAACAACAACATCAATTATTCACTTATAACAACTATTAACAATATTAAAAGTAAAAGAACAGATATATGGATTATGAAAACTTGTAGGCGTTCTCGAAGCAGAACTAGTGCCGCCGGCGTAAGCTTATTTCTTCTAAAATTTCATGTTCTCTAGAACGTCCTGTAGAAGTGCCACTGCTTGTGCTGCCCGTGCTTTGTGATGTGAAATGTGAGTTGTTTTTCAGGGTTTGCTTGGAAGTATCCTTTTTATTTTCTAACGATTTGGCTATGTACCTTTCAGCCACAGATGTAGACTTCCAGCCGTCGTGTACGCGTACCGAAAAGTAATGCGTGTGGCAAGGTGGTAATTTCTGCAAGCAGATGGATATTGAAAGTGAGTACTTTCCGCACGCTGGTAGAAAAATGAATGTATTGTTGTTCAGCTGGTCGAAATCCATATCGTAGAAATGTCGCTACGATACGAATAATTGAAGGAATAATTTAACCACAAAAGCGTGATAAAAGAAAGTATAACAGTCTCAAAAGGTAAAAAATATTTTTAGTTCGATAAGATGAACCCAGATGCATGCCACACACAAATTTTTATGTTTTTCATACTGGTATTCTTTATTACTTAGAATATGGAGCCCTATAAGTTCTGATTTGTCATAATAAACATATGACGCCAAATTTTGTTTGCTAACGAACAGATCGCGTGCCAACGTCAGCATACCAGTTTTCTTGTCGTTTGCCTAAATGAATATGCACGAGGCCTAATGTTTCAGAAGTTACGAACCAAACTCAACTCACTGACTGATGTCAATTAAATACGGTCAAGTCAAAAGACTCATTTTAAATTTCATGTGGTTTATATAAACTTGATACGTGGCGAAAAGAAATGTACAAACACAAATATTACTGGATATAATCTACAACAAAAAATTGTAAACCGAAATAAAATTATCGAGGACCTTCTTGACAGTCTGAAGCCTAAATTGAAAATGGTGTGTCTGGAAAACCAGCATCAGAGCAGTAGCTCGCCACGTGGTCTTGTACAAAACACAGGTACGACCTCTCCCCAACGGCAGCAACAATATGGTAAAGGGAGACCTCCTTGTCCTGCGGACATAGAAGCAAGATTACAAGAGTACTCTGCAAATACTCAAAATTTAGAATTTCAATTGTGCAATATGGAAAACGACCTCCGAGCCATACAAGATGAACTCAGCGCTGTACAGACGGAAAGAGCTCATTTGGAGCACCACAGAAAAATGTTTTGCCCCCCGGTTCATTGTTTTCTTCCTCCTTGCATGTCACCTACATGTATGGCAGGTCCTCCCTGTCAACCGCTTCCTTGTAAATTCCCACCATACATGTTGCCACCACCTTGTACTTGTGCTGCAGATACTGGTCCATCTCTAGAGCAGCAAATGAAAGGACTGAAGGAACAGTACGTTTTACTACAAGAGGACTACAAACTAAAAGTAAAGGAAGTCAGTACTCTGAGAGCAGAAAACCAGAATCTGAAAGAAGCGGTAGATAAAGAACGAGCTAACTTAAAAGTCTATAAAGACAAGATCAAGAAACATGAAGAGGATATAAGATCGTTAATGGGTGATAGAGGAAAAGGAGCAGGATTGAAAGATCGTATACTTGAACTAGAAAAAGAGCTAGCCGACGCTAAACAAACATTCAGAGAAGCGCAGGATGAGCTGGAACAATTGCGATCGAAGGTTCAAGATCAACAGCAACAGATGGATGACTATAGAAATAGGTATTTAGAAGCTCAGCAACAAGTTGAAGAGCAACGTAGGCAAATCGACTTGATGGAGTTAGAGAATGTGCGAATAAGTGAACAGATCAACATGGAGATTCAACGAGTCAAAAATCAGTTTCAGCGAAAGCTAGAAGAATTAATGCCACTACCGGGAATCCTCAAGGACACGCAGATGGCGCTGAAAAAGGCACAACAAGAGCATTTGCTTGCCGAACGGACCAATGAATCAGTTGCCGGAGAGTTAACTTTGTACAAGGACAAATTAGCTGCCCTGGCTAATCAACTAAATGATAACAGAGATCAGGTATTGGGACAAACTGAAAAAGACGGGTTGCTACAAAAAATTGCAGATCTAGAGAAGGAAATAGAAGACGCTCGAGAGGAGAGCTATGATTTGAGGAGTCAAGTGGGGGATTTAGGGGAAAAACTTACTTCATGTCGACTGGAGTCGGACAGCCGAGCACACGAGATTGTTCAGCTGGAATCGAACATAGAAAATGTCAGGATAGAATCTGCTAGACAGGTGGCTAGAACGAAAGACCGTTGCGAGCTTGTTCGCAAATCCATGCAAAACCAAATCAACGATCTGGAGAGGCAGGTTATGCACTGCCAGGCTCAAGTTAAGTCGAGCCTGAAAGATAAGGACGAAATCAGAGAGAAGATGCAGGCACAGATCTGCAGTTTGACCGAAAACTTTGAGGATGCTACATTGAGAATAAGGAACCTTCGAGACCATGTGGATATTCTCAAAAATACTTACGGTGCTGTGGGTGACCCTTATCTCAAACCCTTCCCTCCAGATCCTTGCAGCTGCTGTGCTGATTCGCGAATGTGAATAATTCTTGCGACATCAATTTGTCATTTCAGTGTCAATAAAATCAAAAAACGAACCACCCCGAAAAGTATTGCGCGCAGAGGGGTACACGCAAAGGTTACGTTTACCGATGATCGAGCAAAATTGATCGATTTGCCGCTCTAGAACGACGATAGTAAACAGTGCTCGTTAAAAGCCGTAAAATCTTTATTCTGATATATAAAAAAATAATATAATACATGTTTTTGACTTTGTGTGAATCTAGTTAAACTACAGTTATTCTAAAAGTATGTTTGTTCCATTTTCCTAAAAGGTAAATACCATATACGAAGACTTCTTTTGTAGGAACAGAGAATCATCAGGGTTATTCAGAAAATAATGGCTATATTGCAACAAAAAAATGTTGAGATTTGTAATACGAGCCCCTTCCCGCTTCAGTTGGCCCAACTATTAAAATCTTAGTTTTTTTCTTATCAAACAAATAATAAAAATGTAGCAGGGTGTTATACGTTTAAAATATTAACAATGAATATTTTGATAATATATAGTAGAAAACATCAACTTTATCACTCCCTAATCAAATTTGCAGCATAAAAATAACACATGTTGCAATTACAGCATATCAACCTATTTTCATTTCAATGCAAAATAAGTCTATAACGCATAGGTGGCTGTGAAAAATAAAAGCCATGACAATTGTTTTTATTAATCACAGCTGTTAGAATACGTTTAAAATAGTTTTGGGTAGTTAAGATTTTCAAAATGGGTAGAGGAAAGGTTATTAGTGAGAAAATTCGGTTACTGATAATTAAATTTTTTAATTCTGGGAAATCAAACTCAGAAATTGCAACTTTGTTAGACTTATCGCGGTACAGTGTGTTAAATATTGTAAGAAGATATAACGTAACTGGCTCAGTTAATATTAAGCCACGATATGTGAAGAAAAGTAATATCACAAATGCCGACCGAAGAGCATTAAGAAGAATAATCGTGAAAAACAGGCGTGCCAATTTACAATTAAGTGCTCTGTGGAGTGACGCTGTTGGAAGGAGAATTTCGAGGTTCACAACTCATAAAGTGGCCCACAAACTGGGATTTAGCACTTGCAAGGTAAGTTTTCTTATAAAAAAAAGTGAAGTAAAAACCCTAAAGTTGCACAACTTGTTTATAGGCCAAAGAAAAGCCACTATTAACTCCACTGCAAAAGAAAAATCGGCTTAGATGGGCTAAAGAACATAGACAATGGACACCTCAACAATGGTGTGCAATACAATGGAGTGATGAGGCCCGATTCGAACTTTGTGTTGGTGACAGTCGCAGTAGAGTTATTCGCAAAAAAATTAAGCATTCCATGTTGACTGTCTGAAGAGAAAAGTGAAATTTTCAGCATCCATTATGGTCTGGGACAGTATGTCAACAAAAGGAGTAGGAAAACTTCATTTTATTGATGGAAATGTGGATACAAACAAATATTTGGCAATTTTGGAAGAATCGCTTTTACCAGTGATGGAAGAATGTTTGACATCTGGCCAAGATTTTGTGTTTCAGCAAGATGGATTTTTGCCAAAACTTGGTCAACACTATGCCCCAAAGAATTTCAGCCGTAAAAAAAGTAAAGGTGATGGTAATCTTTCTTGCTTTGTTAACTTCGCGTATTTATTCGCACATTGTTTATTTGTTCAGATGTTCTATTAGTTATAAGTCTAAGTGATTTCAAATATGTATTTTTTACGACTAGAGTGTATATAAAATGTTTTTGAGAAAATAAATTGTTTTAGAAGTAAATAGTTTCGAAATGTTTAGTTTATAAAGGCATATTTTGGTACAAATCTTGAAGTGGTCCAACTGAAGTGGGAAGGGGCTCGTATATACAGGGTGACTTTGAAGTTGAGTCATTAATTTTCAGATAATGATTGTAGAAGGAAGATAAACCAAAATATGTGTGTAAAATCAAAAAAAAAAAAATAAAAAAAAATGTTACCTTGTTTTATAAAGTATCCTCCCGACAAGTATTTCAGTGCGGACCTGTATTTGATAGTGCGGTCTCGGAGCACCGGCATGCGCTCCCCTGTGAGGTCTTAAGTTCACGAGCCCTTTGTACTACATTAACAAAGGCACGAGGGGTTGGTTGCACTCGATTGGGAAACCGATCCGCATAAATCCGTGATGCCGCGGCAGCATTTCGTAAATAAGAATCATGTCCACAAGTTCAGCATTTTCGTAAACATGTGCCATTTTTTATTTTGTTTGAGCCACGCAACAAACACCACTATTCACTCACGCGTTACCGACTGACACATTGACTGAATACAACTGAATAAAATTGTAGTAAAAACTTCGTGATAAGCGTTTCAAATTCTTTTGCTTTTTTGTTTCCGATGCGATGAACCGATAAGGCGGATTATATCCGTTGCTGCCAAACACGAGCACATAATATTATTATTGAGACAGGGCGGTACTCAAACTTCTAAAGGGCTATAACTTTGTTACTTTAATTTTAGCACCAAAATGTTAAAGGGAAAAACATTTCTTTTGATCAGATCTACTCACTGTTAAAATAAATGACTCAACTTCGAAGTCACCCTGTATACATGAAAAAATGTTTTCAGTGATGTGCAGTAGTTCCACTTAGAGGCGGATCTGAGTTGATACACACGACTCGCTGTGTCTCGCTACTATAAAATTCTGCGATTTTAGGTGATGCACCTCTCGAAATTCGGCATTACCTATCGTATGAAATAAGAGGCAAAGCAATCGTTAGTTTGCGTTTTACATTTACTGAAATACATTTGTTACATAAAATACAGAAATGACCATTAATAATAAAAAACCGTGTTTATGGCACGTTAAATGCGCAACTGGTCAAAAATGTTCTTTGACATGGCTGTAAACAGCAAGATATCCTTAGTCCGGCCCATATATGTTTCTATTAAAGAGAGTGTACACTTTTGTGCACCACTACTGATCTTAGTGATCTGTGATTCTGTCATTCCTGTTTAGGTTTTCATTTTCAACTTTCACATTCACATGACGTACACAAATAATGTAAATAAAAGAGACAGACATATTTTAATTGTTTTTGTGATATTTATTGAGAATTAACTTGATATGCAGTGCGAAGATGATTTCGGCGTAGCCGCAGCCCTACATGAAACGGTAAGTTGATTGTTATACGAGAACATTTACAAACATCTCTAAAATGCCAATTAAGAATGCACGACGATCTAAAAATACCTCCCAGAGTGTATATCTATTCGTATCAGTGTTATAAATGATTGTTTTAGTAGTGAAAATTATCTTTAAACCTAAAAATAGATGCGGAAATATGGGTATTAAATGTTACCAGCTCTTTCTGATGTGGTTAGAGTTTAGTATTTCAAGATTATTACCATGAGTTATTTCAAAACAATTCACTGTACATTTTGTAGAGACAAATAGTTAGCTAGTTTCGACACGTTCAAATAAGTTTTCTATCCTGATAAGAGCATGTAAAACTAGGCTGATTTTAGGCCTCAAAATGTTGACATACCATTCCATTTGCATCAGGTCTATACATCAACAGTACTAGGTTAGGTATAGGGGCTCCTAACTAGAGAACATCTATCAAGCATTAGAACAAGAGCCTAGTGCAAAAAAGCAGGCTCATCAAGTAATCAGATGAAATCGATTTAAGATAATAGTGGGTATAGCAATTATGCATAAAATCATTTATTGGGTTCATAGGACTACTGTATCCTTCATACGGGTCCTTTGTTGCACACCAAGTGTACGTATCAAGTTACTGCTTTAAACTTTGCTTAAAATTTAGCATTCAGTAAATAAAATATGACAGAAGTGCCACCTTTAATTATATATATCTATATACAGATTCCGATAGTTAGGTCCTCCACTCATTGGCTTTTTAGAGTTGATAGGTCTTCCATTGCGCTAGGTCCTCCATATATGGAGGACCTATCGCAAATTTCACCAGTCGCCCTGAGGGGCTCCCCTTTGTCACCCGGCAAAATTCCAGAGGGATGACCCAGATCGTGTTTTTATATATATATATTATACACCTTGGTATATTTTTCATTTTTTTCTTCACATAAACTATATACATTAAGTTACCACTTGAAACCACCACCAAATTGAAATATTACACTTCTCTAAATTGGAAAAAGCATTAGTGCCACACCTGTGCCTATTTACAGTACTTGTATTTTGATAAGGGAGCCTTTCAAGAACAATTGGGTATATGTCTGACCCTTATGTGTTTTTTTTGGGACTTAATTTCTGCCCTGTCACTGTTTTCTGAATCACTGTGTATAACACACACATTGTATTGTTCCATGTATATTTAGATCATTTGTAGTTTTGATTAAACACATGTTAATGGAAATGTGACAAACATTTCTTTTCAATTCAATTTAAATGTTTCACTGATATCTCAAAAACAAAACTATAAGTACAATTATATTATTCACCTATATGTAGAAAACTTTTTTTTAGATATAGGGAAACATCTTCAGGCTTAAAATTTGTTCAGTTTTGATCTAAACATGTAAGAGGACATACTACAGAAACAAATCACCACACAAAACTTGTGGCTTGCATTCATGATGGAAAATTGGATATTTATCATGTGTATATTCAATCTTGTATAAAGTAAATAAGACATTATCTAGAATTTTTTTACTTAAAACCATGGTTATAAACTGCTTTCAGAGCTATATTCTACATTTTTTCTTGTAACAGGTTGCCAGGCCCCTCAACAATTTGGACAGTGCATTAAATGAATTGGGCATGCTAGCAACAAGTGCAAAAAGTGATTACCTGAATGAAATGTACAAGAAAAGGTACAACATGTTGACCATAAACACAAGATATGTGAGCAATGTTTCCATAGGATTTAGAGTGAGACCCATAGTTCCACATACAAGATATAAACCTTATAAATGTAGCAAAGAGAGGCACAGGACCAAATCTGAAAATAATGATGAAGTGACTGTGACTTCGCCACCTAAAACTGAGGTAGACTGTAGCTTGGATGAAATCACACAACTGAAGAAAGCCAAGTCCCTAGAAAGTATTATAGCTGAGACAAACCAGATGGTGGATTTGAAAAACATTCACTTAGGAAAACCATCAGAAGTGGAGGTTGTTTCAAAGTCTATACAAAATTTGAAAGTAGTGGAATAAGTATTTTTGTTACCTGCTTTACTCTATGTATTGAGTGTAATTATGAGAGAACAAAAAGTGGATGATTGGCTTTTTGTGGCTGTGAAAGAGTTCCTTAGGTGGTAATAGATGAATGTAGTAATTCTCTAGTATGGTTGTTACTTGTTTCTTGTATCTATAGTCACCAAAGCAGTTAAATAAAAAACTGAGTGTCTGTCATCATTCAGTATTGTTAATTTGAAGTCCTGCATCCTTTTAATGGCGACTGATACCTACTACATTAAAAAAATTTACTAACAATGAGCAATGAGCTTTCTGCTGTTCCAAAGATACATGAATTTCCCGATACTTGATTCTACTGTATCTGACTTTTTGCATTCTAGAATGGCTGTTTGAAAGTATATATCTAGCAATATATTTTGGCACAGATCAAGGATTAAGTTTTGCTGCCACATTTAAAAAATGAGGGAGTCTATAGGATATTCCATAATCGATGAAAATCCATGGAAGTAAGTAATAACCTGAAGAAGTATGCCACTATGCCACACATTTCAGTGAGGTTGCCAAAAGCTTGCACTTCATCCTTTAGCCTAAATATATTGCTACAGCAAACCTAAGTTTATAATGAAATTGTTTCTGATGAATTGGTCAAGAAATCAAGAGGGATGAATTTTATTGAAAGTTCATATATTGATGCAATCTCATATAAATATATGCATCAGTCATTCTCAGGATGCAATGGCAGCATCGCCTGTAACTATAGGAAATTGGCCTATTAAAATATGTCAGTTTCCTGTTAAATGGCGCCTACAAAATCGTCTCCATTAGTTGCCACAACAGAAACCTGCCATATGAAATGAAATGCTGGCTACGTTATCATGGCATCATAGCAAGGGAGTGCTCTAAAGTGTTCAACAAGTTAAAGTATTAAAATGGTGTATGACATTTCATAATGGTTTGTATCAATTTATGATATACATAGAGTTATTACATACATATCTGTGAATAAACAAAAGCTCTTCACCAAACATCAAGTCCAAGACATCTAGTCTGTTTATATATTATTGTCAAAGTATGACGTGCGGTCAAACCTAGGTTTGTGTAGTTTGATCGCAGAATGGACAATTTTGGTCAAGTTAGATGTAGTCACTTGTTTTGAATAGTTCATTCAATGGTATTTTAGACTGGGATTGAAACTGTTAAAACCAAACCTAGGTACGAACAGACGTAGGTCTTGGCTTATAACAGATACTATAGATATATTTATTGTGAAAAGCATCTTTCAGATTTTTTTGTGGTTGTTCATATATTATTTCTGGATCATAAGATTGCTGTTTATATGCCTATTTTGTTAGTATAATTTCAATTTCAAGCCGTTTTGCCGGAACCATGTAACTATGCCCAGTAATACTTATAATCCATTATTCATTATAATATGTGTTAGTTATCACCTGCATATATACCACTAATGCATTTTAATTGAATTGCAGTTGCCATTTATGAATTACAAACAAAATCAACTACTGTGACTATTTCGCAAGCCGTTTAAGGGCGAATTTTTGGCTATGCAGAAGTGTTGTTCTATGCACTCCTTGTTATGGATTGCAGCAATAATTTCAGTTTGAAACACAACTGCTAAGATCAATAACGTATTGTTTAAGCGGGAGAAAAATTTCTTGAAAAAGCGTTCCTTTCGATATTTATGGGGATAGGAAATACGTGCAATCTGGTATGTCCGAAATATTGTTGCACCTAAAATTCGCCTTTAAAATTGGGAGCCTTGCAAATAGGATGCTAACTCCAGGTGATTGATATAAACTGTCTTTGGAATATAATTCAAATCATCTTTGCATGTGAGCTTTTAAAGTCTAAGTTGATAATATTGGTTATTATGGACTTCAAAAATAATTTATTTTATATAACTATCAATCAACGAATGATGACATTAGAATTTAGATACTCATATGTAGGGAACAGCAAGTTGATCCTACCTGCTGCTTCTGCATATTTTATAAAACAGTCTGTGTTAGTTCTTAAGTATGTTACTTTTGGTAGCTAAGTTAGACTGCAGCCAGTACTTTCTTCTTGAACTGTGTTCCGAGATTTTTGTTCGTGGTAGTGGTTGGCATTATGTGTACGAATTACTGTACAAGTAATTTTGTTAGGAGTGTTAAAATAGGTGAGTGATGTGATCGCAGCGTATTAGCTCAATGAACAATATAAAAATGTTTCACTGAATATATATCTCTTTTATTTATCTACCAATATTTTCATTCTGCCCCCGTATGATATTGTACCACATTTAGGTCAGGGTAAATTGAATTGTGTAAGAAAATTTAAATTTCTCAACATTCTCATACCACGAGCATGACATTTATACGTCTCCGCGGTTGAGATATCAATTTGAATTTCGCGCCATTCGTTCGTAGGAGCATGTGTCGTCTCATTATCTATTTTTCTGTCAGTGAATTCGCTCGTATTACATTTTTGGTCAGTTGATTTTCGCCCAACAAAAGTTGTGTATCAGGGTAATAGAAGCAACGAGGGGTACTGGCGCTTTTAGATTGAAGAACAACTGTTCATTAGGAGCAGATTCGCTTTTTGATACCTTCTCGCGTTTCTCGATCCTGATAACAAATTATTATAGCTTGGTAGAGTGTAAAAAACATGAATCCGGATAACATAAGTAGCGAGACATATTCTTGCTTTCGATTCAAATTTCACACCAATCGTCACTGACAGGTTTCATCCAAAATACGACTGCACAAATTGTCATTTGTTATTATTATCTATATGTATAAGTTGGTCATCGAAGCTATACGTTCTACCGCTTTGTTTTTTTGTCTAATATGATGGACTGTCAAATGCACGCTCGGATCTGCAGTTTTGCTTCATTCGGTCAGGAGCAAAATTCCTCTTTTAGTTCTGCGATCCTGGTAAACATATTTATTGTCCTATACGATCATATGTCGAAGAAAGCCTAATCGAAAGTGAACAGTTTTACTCATATGTGAGTATCGATATCTGCCATCATATTAGTTAACCATTCATTTTTAGCCAATAAAAACAGTTATCAGGATAGAAGAAGCGATGCCAGTAGTTTGAAAACCGACAGATATTGTCTTTTTCACCAGTATCCAATACGGAAGAATAACAGAAAGTAACATTTCAAAATTCCCCATATCGACAAATTACACCTGACGGATACGTCAACGCCTGGTAGGCAGAGCCGTATTTTGTTTTGTTTTTTTGTACGCTACAGATTCGTTTTCTTTTATTTAGAAAAGTCTATTTGCATACAAACAAAAGCTACAAGCAATTTTTACTAGATTTACACCCGATTCATTAATGCCAATGTTACAAGTACAAATATGACATATATTAATAAATAAGCAGCATTTTTTCGCGATTCCCCCGTGTAGCGCAGTGCACTACCAGGAACCGATGCTCAAATTTTTGCGAAGAACGGGAATAGGGGAAGACGGATGTGATGTAATTCAAATGTCAAAAAATCACGTGGTACGGGTAACCACCTAACGTCTGTGATGTACTAGCGGGTGACAGGTCTTATGTCAATGTCATTTAAAAAACAGACATGTCAATTGAAAATTTGCCTTCGCAGTGCCGAAAAATCAGTTTTTTTTTTGACGGCGTCAACTCCTATGGTTATTAGCCGTATTCAATAATATATAAATATAATATACAAATCCATCGTATAAAATATTTAATCTCTTACATGTCTAAGTGGTAAATGTCGCATTTTTAAAAAACTAAATATGCAAATTCCAGATATTAATCGAAAAGGATATACTATTGTCATTTACTTTCAGATTCTATTAGCAACAAAAGATAATCTCTGGGAAATGTTACACGACTAAATTTGTCAGGCATATATTCATTAATATTAATTTTTTTTTGTGGTCATTATCTGCATTTCACGATCTTGTTTGCGTTCACGTAAGTATTTCGATTTATACAAATTCTATTGCTACATATTTCTTTTAGTTCCAGATGACAACACTCAGATAAGGTAGGTATGATGCAAAATCATCGTTACATAAGATTTATTTAATCTCAGTTGAGAATAAGATACACAAAAAATTAGAATGGTTCATTTCCAAAAAGTTCATTAGGTCAGATCTTCCAATAGAAACCAGATGCTTTTAAGAATGATATGACGTTTTTCAGTTTTTCTGGTTGTGTGAGACTCTCTGTCAGGTTATCAAATGGTCCATAGATCACTCGATATTGGGACAATATCGGACATGTGCAGATAACGTGGCGTACAGTGAGTGAACAGTTACATCCAGTACACAAGGGCGGATCTGTTCCGAGCAAAAGATGTGCATGTGTAAGGCGTGTGTGGCCAAAGCGTAAGCGATGTATGCGCACCCATTCCTCTCGTGGCAGTCTGATAGGATGTGGCCATGATCCTACACTAGGTTTTATCTGTCTTAAGTGGGTATCAGTGTTACCCCATGTAATTTGCCAGTGTCGCTGTATACGGTTTATGATGTAGTTTTTATGATCAGACATTTTTATTTCAGGGATGTCGATGTTTTGTTGCGCTGCTGCTGCTTTCGCTGCCATATCAGCAGCTTCACTCCCCTGTATACCAACGTGTCCTGGCAACCACAGAAATTTTATGTTCACCCCTTTATTTAAGAGATGTTTGACAGTTTCAAGACACATCACAGTTAAGGTGATCCGTACTGCAAATGATAGAAAAGTTTCTAGGGAATGGTCGTGTTTGAATCTGTGCAGAATACGATAGTGCAAGTTTTTTACGTCTAATGGATAGAGGTTCAACTCCGGATCGCAATAGAGGCTAGCTGCTGGAGTTGTACGAAATGCGCCAAGGCAGAGAAAGAAAAATCAGTTAAATTATTAAATCATAAATGGAGAAACACGTCCATCTGATTTTAAATGACGAGGGAGAAGGTCATCGAAGATATAGGAACCGAATTTGTCATATAAAATGCTTGATTTTTATTGATATACAGGGTGTTTCAGTTTATTGTTGCTTAACTTTAAGATTCGATAGAACTTTTAAAATTAATGCATAAAGTCTATATAAACATGGGTCGAAAAATGCGTGGCTTCCGAAATACAGGGTGTTTAAATTTACTTTCTAAAATAGTTTTTTTAAATATTTCGAACAATATTTGATGTATAACAGTGAAAATTGGTATACAAGGGTTTTTTGGTACCACAAAACGAACCATGGGCATAGTTTTACTGTAGCCGCTAGAGGGCCGAAAAATTTTTCTTAGTGCAATTTTTTGCTTTTTGAATAAATAAACTGATTCTTTGCATTCTTCAACATAAAAAAGCTCTTCTGTGAGTTTTCGTTATAGTTAGCCGTTTTTGAGATATTTCGATTTTTAAGGTTCGATGCATTTTTAATTATTTATGGGAAAATAATATTTTTTTTACATTTTCGATTTGGGCATTACAAGTAATTAAGATGATCGTTTAGATTGTGTTTTTAAACACAGCAATAATTCCTAACTCCAAATAAACACAAAAAACAGAATATTAATTTGTTTAATTTTCCAATATTATTTTTAACAAATTAAATTAATTATTTACAACTAAAATGCTATTGGATAGTCAGGACAAACATACAAAATCGAAATGTAAACCCAATTGTTCAATACACAATTCACATCTACGAATGATCGAACGTGGTATAGCATTATTCAAATAAGGCCTTATTTCATCACATGCATTCCTGATTCTGTCTATTAGCATATCTCTTGTGGTTACGGGAGTCTGGTACACTTTTTCTTTTAGAAATCCCCACACAAAGAAATCTAATAGATTTAGGTCAGGGGATCGTGGAGGCCAGGCGACTGGTCCTCCACGGCCGATCCATCTTTCTGGATAATTTTCGTCCAGCCAGTTTCTAACTATTCTCGAATAATGAGCTGGACAACCATCAAGCTGGAACCAGGCCAATCTTCTTAAATCTAACATAACATCATCCCACATATTTGCATGTTCAGCCTTTAAAAATTCCAAAAAGGTCGCAGCATTTAACCTTGCAGGCAAAAGGTAGGGTCCAAATAGTCGATTAGGGTAGATACCAATCCACACGTTCACACTAAATTCATGCTGAAAATTTCTTTCTCGAACTGCATGCGGATTTTCATGCGACCAAATATGTTGATTATGAAAATTTACCACTCCACGTCTAGTGAAGCATGACTCATCGGTCCATAAAACGTTACTTAAAAACTCCCTATTATTATCAGTTCTATCAAGAATCCACTGACAAAATGTGATTCTTCGTTCTCCGTCCCCTGGCTGTAGTCCTTGCACAGGTTGCAAATGGTAAGGAAGTCTATGGTCATTTCTAAGAACACGGTGAACATGGCTTGCTGAAATTCCCAAGGCACCAAAAACTCTCCTAACACTCACCAGAAACTCTCCTAACACTTGAGGTCGGATCTCTATCAAACTCACGCAGAATCATACGGGTAAATCTGCGCTGACGAACATTTATGTTTTGATCCCTTTGGAGATTTCAATTATTTGGCGATGCACTCTTACAAATACTGAGCGAGTTGGATGTCGTCTGTTTGGAAATCTTCGTGCGTATTCTCTGGCTGCTTCTGCTGCCTTTCCATTTACAAAGCCATACACAAAATGAATATCCGCTAACTCTTGATTGGAGAATAAAAATGGCATTTTTATAAAACTTACAAAAAAAAAACAGGTAAAAGAAACTAAATTTCGTGCATTCACAATTGCAAAAAAACGTTTCAGGTTTCAACAGACAACAAAACTAACTGTCAACTAATCGACGTTTAACCTTATTCTGCTTTCAATTACAAAAATATTTGCAGGCACAGCCTACTTCTAAAAATTATCGAGATACTGACTTTTTAACGTGATTTTATCATAAATAATTAAAAATGCATCGAACCTTAAAAATCGAAATATCTCAAAAACGGCTAACTATAACGAAAATTCACAAGAGAGCTTTTTTATGTTGAAAAGTGCGAGGAATCAGTTTTTTTATTCAAAAAGCAAAAATTGCACTAAGAAAAAAGCCGCTTGAATTTGATTATAGTCAGTCAAAACCGCAGTTTTCCAATCTTCATTTGCATTTTTTAAGCGGTGTGCATTGATGTCGATATAAATTTCGCTACGGATAGTCTTCTAGAGTCTAGTAGAGTACCTATATTTCAATACTTGTCTTGCGTGACCATGTTATCTTTACTCGGACCAATTCAGATTCTAACAAGACAGCTAAGTCAAACATAAAAGACCTATATTAACACTTCTTTAACAATCTGAACATCTAAAACTATGATTTATTCTATATTTCTTTACATTGACTGCTTTTTTCATAAAATTTTCATAATTGTTTAATCTATCTTTGGCATTTTTTGTTAAAGAGATTCGCTTTTCTGCCAGTAATTTTTGGGCAAAACGCCCCCGGCCTACCCTGATGAGTAGAAGAAGTCAAGTCAAGACAGCTAAGTTTATCAAGGATCTTAATGCTAACATTTTGAGCAACATGCGCCATCTAACTACTCGTGTAACTGGAAATTGTCAAAACTTCGAGAGGAACGGGAAATTCCATCTGTTCCCGCTCCTGTTCACAACGGGATCTCGCGAAAAAATCTCTAAGGATCGGTATTGAAGTTGTAAACCTTCCTTTCCGCAAAAAGTCCAGAAAAGATGGAATGCAATGAAGATTCCAACTTTTCTGCACAATCACAGAAAGGGGGTTACCATTAGCTTCCGGTAGCTCAGTCGGTGGCATGAAGACATCTACAGGCGTGTAGCTGTGTGTCGACCATGGCTAGGCTAGAGGATAGAAGAACAAACAGAACACAAAAATTTAACAGATTTTATTTAACTAGAAAAGCACTTTCATTACATTTGAAATTGAAATTTTAAAGAACAAAATGAAAGGTTTAAATCTTTGGCGCTGTTACAAAATCATCCACTTATCTTTCGCTAAGCTGGTCCATTTTGACTGGACTGAAGCGAGGATGGCCAGGTGCTTCAAGTGGAGGTCCCAGTTATGAGGGGTGACCTCACATTTAGTGGCTTCAAAACTAGTTGTAGGCGAAAGATGCAGTGAAGTTGAACTTAAACGTGATCTTCATCAAGGATGAAGCTGTAAGTGATGGCGCAGCCAAGGCACATGCATGGGTGAAGGCACGGCAAAGTGATAGGCCAAGCAAGGCAAAGTCAAAGACAAAGGGAGGCAAATTCAAAGACAAAGGCAAAGTCAAAGACAAAGGCAAAGGGGGTGGCCCCAATCATTTTATCCTATTTGGACACACATTTTACAAAATGCTAGCACATAGCATATGACCTCATGCTACAGAGAACAAAATTCTCAGCTCTTGTTAGATCGGCGGCTCAAGTGAACAGGAAGCGCGAGGAAGATCACAGATCAGGAACTCCGCATCAAGCGCGCTCCAAGCGGAAATGTTTCTAAGTAAAAAAGCTAGAGAATTGATTAATGAGTTGCGATTCTGAAATGAAAATCGAGAAGTGATTTAATCAATACAATCGGACGGTGAAACCGTCACAAAGTATCGTCGATGATATAAGAAAAAATCGTAACTCCGTTGCTAAGAATTTTGGAGGAAAGTGTAAAAACAAATTGAGTTATGCATTATATTGTTTTAGGAATAATAGCATTATTGTGATAAATGCAATATTATAGTTTAGTTGAGCAGTTTCTGAATGATACCTAAAGACAGCTGAAATTTTCAAAACAAAAATAGAAAATAGGTAAAATTAGGAATTACGTGTTTTTCCTATTAGAACGCCATATAAAGTGGAGTTACGTGATTTCCTTGTGTTAAAAACGGTAGATTGTAGTTTGTTGCTAATGCGCACCGTAGTAATAGGAGGGACGGCCAGTCGGCATCTGCGGATATGATAAGACGCGCCGAGAGATGTCGGGCAGATCGGTTGTAGACGTGAGATAATGATAAAAAATAGCGTGTTTTTTTTAAATCGACGTGTTCTATGTTCGTTTATCAGACACTGAATTCTGGATTGGGACAACAGAAGCGGTGAGTGGTGGTCAAGCTATTAATTGAGTTTCACGAGAATCGCTTATCAGGAGCGGGCTGTATTTTTATATCTTCTCGGACTTCTGCAGTCCTGATAGCAGATCTGTTTCCTGGGCGATCTTGTAATTTGTCGAGCTGGAGGATTGTGCGATTAAGATTTTTAGCTTCTAAAGTCTGTCCAATCCCAAGATAGAGTAAAAACAAAGCAACGTCGCCCGTTTTAATATCCACAAGATCGCCTAGCAGCAGGTGGACTGGCGAATTCGATGTCGGCTAGTGATGTAAAATAATTAAGTAACGCTTACAAAATAATCGTTACAAATGAGTAACTAAATGTAACGAGTCCTACTTTTTGAAAAGACTCGTTACTTTTTATTTGATATCGTTACTTTGAATGCGATACGGTCTTTTTCAATGTATACTTTTTAATTACTGTTAGTTACTACACTATACATTACTTTAGATACAAACGTTACTGGGATCTAATGTAGCCAGTACTGCCAGCGCCAGCAGCAAGTGACTTGGTTCTTGGATGTAAACTGGGTGGAAATGAAATGATGCGAATATCGTTAGGCTTAGGCAACTTTAGATACTCTTCTATCAAACGAGTTGCGGACTGCGGAGCTTTAGGTTGGCAATGTTTGTGTACACCTGTACACTTTTCATTTGACTTTGAGAGCTAGCGGTTGGCGGGTTGTTACTGGTTTGGACGTTGCCGTACAAGCTCGAGCAATAATATAATTATTATTTGTACAAAAATATGGAATCATCCGCGTCCGGTTCAGGAGAATCGCAAACTCAAAAAAGAAGTGTTATTTGGATGCATTTCACCAATATATCGGAAGCTAATGCAAAGTCTAATCTTTGTAAAAATATTTATTCGCATAAAAATGGAAACATTAGCAATTTAAGGAAGCATTTGAAAACTAAACATCCGACTCTTTCATTGGAAGGAGAAAGGGCAAAACGGCGGGTGGAAGATGAAAATATGCCTAGGTGCAAAAGGAACTTAGTTTCAGGTATGTTTTATTATTATAAGTATTTTGTTGAACACCATTTACAGTGGAGTAACCAGACTGTTAAGTAGGACAGCGGAGTAACCAGACTGTTAGGGCAGGGGACGCTACTCAACTAAAGTAAAGAGTGAGGAGAGTGGTTCCTCCACGGTACCCATCTGGTTATGCCACTTGTTAAATACTATTTACAGCGTACAGCCAACGAACGAGACGTCACACAACGACGAGTTTAAAATATAAGTACCTTCTACGTATCAAATATCAAAAAAATTAATAGGCAAGGCATTAGACAAAAAATAATAATTGGATCAATCCCAAAGTAATAATTTGATATAATATATAGAATGTAGGTTCTAAACGAAATGTTCAAAGAGTAACTAAACTAACGAGTCCAAAGTTCGAAAGTAACGAGTCCTTACAGGTCCTAAAAAGTAACGAAACTTTGCATCACTAATGTCGGCGCCTGGTCCGACGCTATGCCACCGTACGGCTGCCGCTTCGGTGCGCGTTTAAGCAGTAGTACATAAGTACAGAGTTGCAATCAGGGATTAGGTATTCGAGTGACATTCATCGTGCTATATTCCTTCTTGGTATGTATGTCTCTGATTTCACGGTTTCCATTTGTCGTTAGGTTTTGTTTATATTTGTAGAATTTGATGTTGTTGTTGTTATTATTGTCACTCGTTATAGTTATATATTGTTAGCTAAGATGTCCAGTACAGACACTGCTGATGAGACTGCAAGCTATTGTCTGAGTCCACCTAGAAAACGGTAAAAAAAGCATTTGAGTGTTGAGATAAAAGAAGTGATTCTAAATGTGTTTAAGACAGAGAGACAGGAAAATGAGACATCCACTGTCGATGAAGTCGCTTGGACGGTTTCTGAAAAAGTTGGAGTATTCGCGCCTCCGTTTATGTTTTACGGGAATACAAGGTATTTTATTATCCTTATAATTGTTTTCAATCATTCAATAATTACCGCGTTATACCAACCTCAACCCCCCGCTAGTCTGCCGAGTCGGGTAGGTTTCCTGCTAGAGATGCTAGAAGAAGAGTCGCAATCTAACAGCCATCGGTAACATCAGCAAGTAGTTATCACTACCAAGTAATTTTTATTAGCTTCATTTTGGTTGTGAAACATGTTTTTCCTAGTAATAGCATCTGTAATCAACAAGATATTGGAATCATTAAATCATCGCAAGGCGCCGGTAAATACGTCCTTGAATAATTCAGGCGTCACACGACTGTGTTTACATCACTCTATCTTGGGGTTAGATGGAGTTTAGATATACCCTATTTCACCAGTATCCATCACGGTAGAATGACAGCTGGTTGTCTAGTAATATTTCAAAATTGCCCATATCGGCAAAGGACACATAGTTCTGACCGATCCGTCAATGCCAAGTAGACAAAACCATATTGTTTTATTTTTTTGTACGCTACAAATTCATTTTGTACTTGCTAAAACCTCTGTTATTTAGAAAAGTTCGTTCGCATATAAAAAAACAAAATGCTACAAACAAATGTTTGCTAGATTTACATCAGATTCATTATTGCCAACGTTGCAGACTACCACAAACATGTCACTTGCTGATCTGCTGTTCACCTCAGTAGACGTCAAAGCGTAATGGATACTCATGAAATAGGGTATAGTAAAACTATTGTACAGAACCCTACTTTGTTTGACGGTGTGGCAATTTCTTAATAGTGGCATTGCTTAGCATAGTTGAAGGCATGTTACACATTTCGATGGCAAATTATTTAATGAGCCAACGGCTATCACATTGGTAAAGATATATTTTTGATGAAGGTGAATAGATAACTTTTACATGATAGCAATATTTGCTATTATTTAAAGGCACCCTTTGTCAATGCAAGTTGCAGAAAAACATATATATTTTTTTAAATTAGAAGCATATTGTCGGCTAACCCCTTTTAAGATAACGTGTGCGATAAGGGAGTTCGTGACCCTTCGATTTTATTTCATAAGGTTGGGTAGATTTGATTTATAATGAAAATACACCAATTCTAACGATTACGTTACCAATTAAATTGATTTATCTTGATATCTACCATAAAAGGGTTAGCTGTAACTCAGAAACCAATCGTACAAACCGCCATAAACATGTTACCAAAAAAGCTTGTGAAAGTTGAATGAAAAGCATATTCTTTAATTCACCTTCTGAGCCACTGGTGTAACCAATTTTGCATCCTCCAATTTCCATTAGAATGACCGGTTGTACAACAAACTAGTCTTTATATTGATAGTGGTATCCACAGACAAGTTTGGTGTACAACCGGTCGTTCCAGCGGGAACTTGAGGACTCAAAATTGGCTCAATGTTGCACCGGTGGCTCAACCGGTGAATGAAAGGATACGCCTTATATGTGTGAGAATATACACGGTGTTCCATTTAAATATTTTGAGAATCCGTTCGTTTTGGGTTCTTGACCACCCTGTATGAACTATAAAAAAAAAACGAAAAAATTAGTGGATTCGGAGAAAATATGCGATAATAAAATTCATCTGGCGAAAAATTCAGTACTCTAACCGTTAGAGAGGAGAGTTATCAAATTTGAGTGTTATTCCCAGAGATGGTCCAATATCTCAAGGATTTCAAAATTAAATCATATAGTATGCTATATCAAATTATTTCGTCTGACAGAGCCTACCTAAATTTGCAATAAAAAGTAGTCCTTTCCGTTCAAAAAATGTATTACTGGCTTACCATATAATTACGAATCACCCTGTAGGGATAAAAATATTTTCCAAGTAAGGATGATCCTGTTGGCTACAATTTTTGTACTCAACTTTTTAGATACAATGCGTAATAACGGACTCATCCGAATGAGCACACACAGAAAACTCACCCTGTATATACAACTTCATAAACTCACCATTATCGATGATAAAAAAACATAATTATTCGTACATACATATTTTTAACCACTCTCAAAAGAGCATCAGAAACTATACAAAAAATAGATGGTGGTCCATCATTCTTTATTATTTGAAGGTATCAACACATTGCCACTATAGCAGTATACAAATAATAATAAAGTATCTCAATATAGATAACGATCTAATGATTATTTGTTAATAACTTAAAAGTGCTATATTAAAAATAAATGCAGATTGCCATTATCCATTAACAATAAACGATCTCGGTAAAGGTAACTTTCTGATGACCAATTACTTAGAAGCACAATATTAAGAGTGATTCATGAATCATTATTCACTGGCTATTTGTTAGCCATTTGCCATGATTTCGCGTTCAGACATGGCCAATGTAGGCCAACTCCTATATCTGAACGCTAAACCAACGTGTATTGGCTGGGGTTGGCTAACATTGTTGCTGAACGACCTTACCCATCTCAGCAAATAATACAGGGCCACTGGGCCAAAGCTATATACAGAGAAATCCATAAACCACTGACGTCGTAGTGTCTGCAAGAGAGAAGCACGTTAAAAAGAAATACTTAATAAGTAAATACTTTTCTTCACTACGCCCATGGTTTGTTTATCATTTTGTTGTTGAAAATAGCTATTGGAGCGCTTTTTTGTGTCAAAAAAATTGTTTCTTGAAGAAAGATAAGGAAATATCTCGTACTTATTTTAAATAGGAATTTAGTACATAGTTTGCGATTGATGTGACCAAACTTTGTTGCTAAAATAACTTGTAACGCTTTATTACATAAATTAACCATGGTATATTCCACAGCAGAAATAGTTGAAATTATCGAAATATTTTTCGGAAATAATCAGTGCGCTAATAGAACAGCAGAAATATTTAATGAGCGACATGAGAACAGTAACGTGCATCGAAAATATGTTCTAGAACTTGTAGCTAAATTTCGGGAAACTGGGTCAGTCGCCAATAAAAAACGCAACATTGAAAATCCCATAAGGAACGAAGCAATAGAAGTGGGGGTTTTAGGGCAAGTTTATGTAGATCCTACGTTAAGTACCCGCAAATTGGAGACTGTGTGTGGTGTTAGTCGACGTACTGTCCAACGGATTATAAAGGGCCATAGTTTTCATCCGTATAAAATTCACCTGGTACAAGAACTTAATGAAGACGATTTTGATCGGCGATTACAATTTTGTGAAGATATGAGTGAACGAATTATAAACGATGAACATTTTCTATTCAACACTTGCTTTTCCGACGAATGTTCCTTTTTCTTAAATGGTGTAGTAAATCGTCATAACTGCCGATATTGGTCCGATTCTAATCCCAGAATTTATCATGAGGTTCGTACACAGCAGCCACAAAAATTAAAGGTTTGGGCTGGTATTTTTGGCGATCATTTAGTTGGTCCTTTTTTCTTACCTAGAAATTTGACCGGTGAAATGTATTTGGAATTACTGGAAGACGCCATAGATCCTGCATTAACAGCCATAATTGAAAATCAGAATGATCGGCGGCACATTGCGAATAGGTTGATGTTCCAACAAGATGGTGCCCCACCACATTACGCATTACGTGTTCGACAATATTTAGATCAGATGTTTCCAGATCGATGGATTGGTAGAAGAGGTGCCATTGAATGGCCCCCAAGATCGCCAGATTTATCACCTTTGGATTTCTTTATGTGGGGTCATTTAAAAAGCAAAATCTATGCTTCTCAGCCAACATCATTAGAAAACCTGCGACAAAGAATTGTGAATGAGTGCCTTCAAATTACTCCTCAAATATTGCAAAATATGCGGCAACGTTTTGAGCAAAATCTTTATTATTGCATGGAGAGTCATGGTGGCCATTTTCAACATTTACTTGCCTAACGGGTCAGTTCATTCTTCATTTTTAAATTACTTTGCTGCCAAATGTATTGATCTCCACTAATGATGATGCATTAGTTTTATTTAAGCTTTAAATCAATAAATCTTCAAAACTACTGAACTGAAGTACAATAATTTTATATCATTATAAAGGGAATTGAAAGACCTTTAATAAAATAAGGTATCACTCGACCCCCCTTTCCATTTAAGATTTTGGCGGTGGTGTCACCCCCGCTTAGGGGGCTGCACGTGCTAACGTGATTTTTTGCCAAACTTGTGTCCCCCTCGAAAACAAAATCGACGAGTCTGAGCGTTTTTCAAAAAAAAAACTGAGCTGCCAATAAGTGCGTCTGTTTCGTTTTCGATGCGCCACCCTGTATATATATATACCATATGGTATGCGTGGCGACATATAAGCGCTTGGTACAGTGAAGCTGTAATACGCATGCTTAAGCACTTGAGCAGTGCTTCTGAGAGCAAATGTTGTGGCAATTGACGAGCAGGGGCTTGGAGACGTGGATACGTCTCAAGATTCGGGTCTAGGTAATGCTGATTGAGGGCGCTTTTAGAACTCAACTGTCACACAAGACAGACTTGTGAAATCTATTTGCTTAGAATGAACTGAATTCGATGGTAGTATATATTACGAATGGCATGAAATTTAGTCACTATGTTGTCTTGCATTTTTCAATGATAAAAGATGTCAATTCAATAATTTATCCTTTTTATAATATGTTGAAATTAAAATTGTTGATTTTTCTTAAAAATGCAACACCTTAATAACATTATCTGATAAGTCACCTTGAAGATTAGCACGTCAATAAGAAATATCCTGTATATTACAGAAAATCTGTATCTGACTGATTTTAACTCTGAAACACATCAGTATTTATCAGACGTACCCTATATCATATCCTACAAGTTTGCCAAGTGCCGACTCATGTGTGTTTTTTTCTTGCTCCACTATAGCCATCGTGAGTATAGCCTATCATACCAACCTGGCAGCAACGTTATAACGTTATAATGCAAATAATTAATAGAATGCATCTATACAGCGACAGCGTGGTCATATCGATGTTTGTGATAAAGGTAAACAAACAAAATCCATAGAAAGAATACTGAAAAATTTTGTGTATTTGTATACTGGAGTTCTTGAGATTTTTGAAATGTTAATGGTATCTGTAACTTAAAAGGACAATGGCAGTATATACGTTTTTCGTACAATTTTTAGCCAGTAAAATTTTTGTATCAGGTGTTTATAGAGGCGACATGGAGGTCCGTTGTATTTACGGATAGTAAAAGACTTTCTTGTCGATTTTTCCAGAGGTCATGGCAGGCAAACTTCCAAACTTTTTCGTGCAAAAAATGAAATAATTATTTGGACGGTTTGGTGTAGACCTGCATGCGGGAAGCCTTAGAATACGTTCGCCCGTTGATCGGAATTGAAATAAGTGTCTGGAGTTTTTGTGAGTGTACCTACGTGTGTAAACTGAGAGAAACATCACATACGTGTAGATGAGAGATAAAGTGGTCTCGCTTGGTGCGTGGTGCTTGACGGTAAGTAGATATCAAGCTTTGTTTCCATTAGTCGAGTTCGAAACATAGTCAAGTATTAATAAGAGTATTTTAGAGAACTATTCTGCTATCATATCCATAATGAATTATGTACTACTTCATTTTATCAATTGTGAGCAAAAAATAAATACATTCAAACGATCTAAACTATTATTGCTGTTTTTGATAATTTCGGGCGTAGGCAAAGCCGATTGCATCCATTTTTTACAAACTGTTTTTCACCGATTGTGCGTGCACTTGATTAACAATTAAAAACAGAGACTATCATTAACAGTACCCACTAAACTGATTGGCATTTTCTTAACCCTTTAAGGCGCAAAATTATTTTTTTCGAAAATCAATTATTTTTTTGAAAAACTAGTTATCAGCAACAACAGCAACCACCAAAAATTGTTAAAAAAATTTTTGAAAAATCCTAAGGTGGTGAAAAAAACGGTAGATATAGCTACCATGGTGCTTTAACAACAACACTCTACACATAAAGTTCAGTAAGAGCTCTAGCCACCGTCTCAATAAAATAAAACTACATGAGTGAAATTTTATTGCATACACTTATAATTATGTCATTGTATTAGCAACCTTCTTAAAAATAATACTACATGAGTGAAGTTTTATTTTGTAAGTAAACTTATATTAATTAAATATTTTTTATTTCGTATGGTAAGGTGCAAAACAGTCCTTACATAATGCAACGTTACAAGTTTTGCAAATTATAATATTAGAGCGAGTTTGTTTCTTTTTTTAAGAACTGCACAGTACACAGCGGCGATACGTTCCTTTAGTTGCAAGATGGGAACCTATATTCGATTGCGTTTACGTTTTTTGAGGTCCGGGCTTTTTTCTTTGAGTAAATGTTCCAATAAGTTCATTCGCTAGTTCGCTACGGAACTGTAAAGCTGTTTTGCACTAGGGTTTTTTGATTTAAGTGTTTCCTTGTAGAGAACATAACTATTTACTATTATATGTATATATAAAATTTTATCCACCACCATCGGGATTTCCATGATGTGGAATAATTTTCATGATATTGGTCGAACAGATCAACGCCTCCCATATGGATGTTATAATCCGCGATAGCTTTGGGACACGTTACATTATCCCGTTGACCTGTTTTGTTGGTGCGTAAAACTTCTGTTTTTTCCAGGAAGTTATGTCGATTACTAGCAACAGCTACGCTTTTGACACCCCGATCTTTCCATTTGTATACAGATATTTCTCCCGAGGCAACCGAATCTGATTGGTTTTGAGATAATTCCTTAACTGTACACAACATGTGTTTTGGGAAATTCTTTCTGTTCTGCCTGACAGTTCCACAACCAAATAGGCCTCTGTCTAATAATTTCTGCATAAGAGCAATCGTTGTAAAGAAATTGTCAAAATAGATGCAATAGCCGCGATTTTGAAAATTTTTTGACAATTCAAGAACAACACGTTCCCCCAACATTTCAGTCGATGATGACTCACCCTTGCCTTGGTAAATCTGGAAGTTTACAAGATAACCTGTTTTGGAGCATGCCAACGCCCATATCTTGAAACCTCGTTTTATAGGCTTCATAGGAAGGTATTGCTTCAAACTTGTTCGTCTTTGAAGGGGCACATACTATCATTGATTGATAGATGCCGATAGGGTGTAAATGCAGTTTGGAATGCATTGGAAAGATGAACCAATAATGGTCTAATTTTGAACAATTTATCAAAATTGGGGATATTAGGTTGAGGCATTATTTGATTGTCGTTCAAATGAAGGTATCTAAGGATCTTTAGAAATCGCTTGAGTGTGAACACTTTAGCAACACGTTCAACAAAAAAAATTAAATTAGCAGATCAATAGGATCTCAACGTGGGCAGGCGGTGAAAACCCATGACAATAAGTATCCCAAAAAATGCATCAAGTTCTTCGGAACCTAATTCTAATTGAGTTTTTTGTTGATTAGCATATAAATTTGATTCACTTTGATTCATTTTGGCATATATTTTCGTCAAAATAAATTTTGAAAAAATCGATTGGTTTGTTTGAATCCACCTGAATATTTACAGCAGAAGACTCCGTGAAATTGTAAGTATCGAATCGTAACATTTGGTTAGATTTTTTAGACCACAAAAATGTAGTTTTACCAGCAGAAGATATTTCGTTTTCGTCTTCATTCTCGGAGGACAGTTCATTATCCTGAGGAAAAAACTTGGCAATTTTATTTGGTGGACCATCTGGATCATTTGGATCGAAGTCCGGGTCTGCATCGGAATCATGGTAGTCCTCATCTTCGCTCTCAGTCATACTTTGTGGCGGAATCTCTGCAAGTAATTTTTTTCTCAAGCCAGTTGTGTACGATGGACCAGGCTGAGAATCAAGAAGAACCGCAGGTGAACCTGAAGACAATCATACTGAAGATGATCTGGATGAAGTGGTGAAACCCCCACTTCATGGCAAGTCATCCTCTGCATCATCATCACCGCCATAGTCAGAAGCACAGTATTCTTGATTGCTTATATTTGCCACAATTTCTTCTAACTCCGCTTGAGTTAGTGGCCGTGAATTGGACATTCTGGAAATAAAATATATATACATGGTGTCCCGTATCGTTATGGTCGAATTTTGTGGCGGCCCTAGGTATACTAGATTTAATTATAAGTCAAAGTTGCAGTTTTATTTTCATTTGTCTTCGACCTACAAAATTTCAGCATAACGATACGTGAAACCCTGTTTAAATAGCTAAATTATGTTTTATATTATAAAAAAACAAATTATACTAGAGCAGTAATAATCTGATGAAATAGGTTTAGAAACTGAAATTTTTTTTTATTGGGCTATCAGCACCAATGCTTACTATCACAACAATTTTGCATATTATCTGCATAATCGAGAACAAAAACAAAATATTATCCTAGCACTTCAATGCAATGCTAAAATTACTTTAGCAGCCAATTGATACATATTTTACTATTGTAAAACGATTAGTACACATTTACCAACATATTGATAATTATTTTATAGATAAAAATATTTATTGATGTTTTTTGTGCTCCCACAAATATTATGCTTTGCTTGGAGTTTTAAGTGCTTTAGGAAATATAACAACAAAAACCTTTATGTAGATATTTTAATTGAATACTTACCTATTACTTATTTCTTGCACTTATACACAAACACAGCTCTATCTATTAAAAATAAACAAAATAAAGCAAAATTCTGCTTTGATGCTTGCTGTAATGAACGTTGGTAGCTTATGCTACCGTACGTGGTTGGCAGGAGCACGTGGCTCGCATCGCGCGCGCTGCTGGTATTCACATTTACCAGCGAGCACTGCGGATAGCGTCTGTGTGCATTGGAACCAAAATCACTTGGCCGGTCATGCTAATATCCACCATAATAACTGAAGGGTTAATGAATATTTGAAGAGCACTTAGGAACTTTAGAAACATTAAAAAATTTGTTTCTTAATATTGTTTTTCGGCGTGGAAAATTGTATTTCGCACTTTGTCAAATATTAAATCGCTAATATCTCGAGAGCTATCAACTTTGAAGAGACGTTCTTAAGGGCCTTTTTTGCTCAGAATGGTCAAAAAAAAGGTCCGGAGATATTTTCTGGACTAAATGTCCATCAGTCGCTGACAAGTGTAGATCCGGCGGATGATACATCATAAAACTTCGGGCATTTCAATAATCTTTTTACTGGTAGTTCTTTGTTGTTAATAATAATTGGCGATGAGTAACACATTGACTTAAAACAATATCGGTAATTATCATCCGTACAGTAATTTATAGTTTCTGGGGATATGTTGCTAGACATACTTTTATGCTGCTACTGTCATCCCTCCCGTAAATAAATTCCCAATAGTATCTGCAATACCTGCTCAAGATGAACCACAGTAGTACTTTGAACGAACGTCAAGATGAACTTTTCACTTTATTATATTGTATATGTGATATATATATAACTAGCTGAATGTGCATCCGTTAATAAATGTAGAATATTTCAGGTGCAAGGGATCCCAGGTTATTGGAGAAGTTCTAAGCGATTTTATTCATGTCACCGTTTAGATAGATTCCTATTTGTTCCAGGTTTAGATGAGATGGATGTGCTTGCTGTAATGTGAGTCTGTTTTGGGGTTAGTTAGAGGTGTAGGTGCAAATTTTCTGGAAAAAGTATAGTCGACCAGTTGAGAACGAGTGAGGGACACTTCATTTTAAAGTCATACTTCATAACGTAGATACTGCGATAACATCGTGGCTTTAGAACAAATCATCTGTGACTTTCAATACTGTCTCCACAGATAAGTCGACGTTGTGATATAAATGTGTCCTGATTTGATAATAAATAATTGTTTTTCGGTTTTCATAGTTCAAAAAGTGGAGTCAGAGGAACTGCTGTGGGTCATTTCGTAGGCCATTCTAGAACCAAAGAAAATAACTTGCTGACTATGTAATTTTCAACGCCCTTCCAGCTTATCTACGAGTACTTACAGCTGAATAAATTTGCTAATTTACTAAATATACTGCAAGATGTATGCGGCACAACTACTTACCTATTATTATTGGAAGTTAAAATCAATTTGATTAAAATCAATAAAATGCCTAGTTACTTAAGTATTTTACGATCTAATAGTTTACAGGAGCTCAAACTTAAGAGAGTTGTAGACAACGTACAGAAGCATCCATCTTTCCATATATGTATTGTAGGTAGGTACAAAAAACCGTTATTCAACTTATAACTACAGAGGTGCGACAGACCCATTGAGCTTGGCGATATAACCAAACAAGAACAAGAAATATTCGGCTCTCAAGTGCTAAAAGACAAGCTGGCACTATCTAGCACAGTAATTCGCAAAGTCCTTGGAAGTTAAAACCATTTTTCTGTGATCTAGATCTTAGTTAACATTCTGGATGCAATTTCAGCATTACCGACATATTTTATTCACATATTCTTTTAACATTTTAGGTGTGGTTAATTTTCTTAGAAGATACTAATTTGTTATATATACATATATATATATATATATATATATATATATATATATATCACTATCCGATAAGAACACTTAAACTGTCGCAACTAGACTAAATAGGACTTCATCGGCACTTACCTGACGACGTACCTTAGTACGGAAAAGAGTTTTATAATTTATTTATATATAGGTACAACTTGGAAAATCGGGTTTGGGATTTTTAAAAACCGAAGCTTTTTCAAAAATAGATGTAAAAGATTAACTATTTGCTTTACTATATCTCAATCAGTTGGGCTAAGAGGATATGGCCTTCTGACCCTTATAAAGGGTGTCTCAGAAATATTTTCGTTTTTAGATCAGTCCTCTGGCGGAATACGCATGCTCCGGAGAAACGAGACAGTTGACAAACGTTTGGCAACATTGTTAAATTTTAGTTGCAATGGAGCGTTTTACAGGGCCGCAACGTGCTTTTTGTGTTCGTGAGTTCTATAAAAACAAGGATTCTTATGTGCTTGTACGTCGTTTGTACAGAAATCATTATAACATAGCAAGAATGAGAGATGTCCCAAGCGCAAATTTAATTAAATATTGGGTAAGAAAGTTCGAGAGCACTGGAAACACGTGTATTAGTAAACTGCCTGGACGGCCAAGGTCAGCAAGATAGAACGAAAATATTGAACGTGTGCGCCAGTCCGTTAACGAGGATCTCCGGCAATCATTAAGACTGCGTGGAGCGTCTCTAACTTTGCATAAGTCAACTGTTCATCGCATTATTCGCAAGGATTTGCATTTTCACCCATACAAGATTGTTGTTACACAACAATTAAAACCACAAGATCCCGCTAATCGATTAGAGTTCTGTAGAACAATGAGAGAGCATTTTAACGGTTACAACAACATATGGTTTTCTGATGAATCGAATTTTCACATTAACGCGCATGTTAATAAACAAAACTGCCAATATTGGGCCGAGCAGAACCCGCAAAATCTTCATGAGACGCCATTACACTCGCCTAAAGTTATCGTCTGGGCTGCTATGTCAGGGCAAGGAATCATTGGCCCGTATTTTTTTGAAGACAATCGTGGCCAAGCTCAAACTGTAACATCTGAGCGCTACTGCCACATGATTAGGACTTTTTTAACTCCAGCTATACAGAACCATGGTGGCTACAATAGAAACACGTTTTTCCAGCAAGATGGAGCGACTTCTCATGCCACGAATGAATCCTTGGATGCTCTTCATCAGTTATTCCCAGAGAGGGTCATCAGTCGCAGAGGAGACATTAACTGGCCACCGAGAAGTCCCGATTTGACACCAGCAGATTTTTTCTTATGGGGATACCTGAAGAGTAAGGTATACACCCCACCGCCACAAGATTTGAGAGAGTTGAAGCAAAAAATAACAGATGAAATAAACGCCATTCCTCGAGCAATGCTTCGGAGAGTGATCGAAATCTTCAGTTCGAGATTAAGAGAGTGTGAAAACATGAACGGTGCTCATTTATCCGATACTCTTTTCCATAAATAAAATTAATGTTTAGGCTTTCGTTTGGTAATAAATTTATCTTTGTAAAAATATTCTAAGTATTTTTATTTATGGCATAAAATAAGAAAATATTTATGAGACACCCTTTATTTAATTCTGTTTTTATAGCATAGTAATTCTGTGCATCTAATGACATTATACTGAGGAGAAGGCAAGCGACTTGTGTCACGCGAACGATGATTGACCAATGGTGCTTCTTTCTGACTCATTGTTGAACATAGTTGTTTGATACTTTCGTGCGGCACGAATCGCTGCCATCCTCCTCAGTGTGAGATCATCTTAAGGTTGCATAACTTTTTTTGACCGATTAAGACTCCTCTGATTTACGCTATTCCTAGCATCCTTATAAAAGCGATGCAAAAACTAATTTGAAGAATATTCTGCTGGAACCGGGCTAGGCACACATACCTAATGTCTAATTAAGCAAATATTATGAAGTGTTTGACTGTTTAGATGTTTAAAAATACTTTGAAGATTTTCTAAAAATTTTCATAGTCATGTAAAAACCAACTTCGTATTTCAGATCCCTGCACAGAGGTTGAATTTGAATCCTGTTGGATTTATGGTACGAAATGAGCGAAGGCAGGCTGAAAACTTTCTATGAAGTTCCATACTTATTAAACCCATTTTAAGGGGATGCCTTTTATTTTCTTTAGCTCTTAAACAAATATTTTTGTGATTGGGTCCTCTTTTGTCGATAACGAAAAAATTGTTGTGGTTTTCCTAATTTTCATGTTATTATAGGTACTCCTTTGGAAAACTCTGATGGTCTTTGGGGTTAATAAAAAAATTGATTTTCTGTATAAACATGTTTTACTAAAATTAATCTAATTGCGCTAATCGATAGAAAATCGTAATAATTATTAAAATAGTTTTAAGTATAAAAAATACACATACAAAAATAAGTTTACAATATAAATAAATTTTATTTGTTGTGATCTAGGTACACCTTAAAAGACATCAATATAAAAATACACAGTCATAGGTTTATGCACATACAATATTCGTAATAGTATCTAAATCAATATATTATCCTATCTATTATGTACAACATACATTTAAGACCTATTTTATCATCTCCCCATACTATATGAGCAAACTTGCAGAATATCAGGGACGGAACCGTAATGGATAGTAAAAGCTGGAAAATTTTATAAGAAATCCCCTTAATCAATTTGATATAATTATGCGATGGCATTTTTGAGATGTGTCAATAAGGATTCGACGTGATATTCTTTAATTCCTTTATTGGTTTTTGCCGAGACACCTCGTCTATAACTAGAAATACTACAATAATTTCATGACTGAAAATATAGTTCTTATTGCAGGGAGACGACAAAACAAGCGCACATACACACATAGAAATAAAGCTCCAGTTAATCCTGGCATGGACACTTACTACATCTGATAAGCCTATATTTTCTAGAAAGGCTTTTGATGATTGTATCTTGGGCGTACGGTTATTTTAGATTTGCGTAAATAATATGTGAACGCCTACAGCAAAGTGTTATCGCAAAATATGACTACGCCAAAGTTAACTGGGCATATGAGAATATAAAACGCCGAGACGGGTCTTCCAGATTCTTATGCTTAAATAATACATATCTGAGATTTCTCCCTATTCTAGGTGTGTGTCTATTAAAGAAAAATGTCCAGAAGCAGATTGTTTTTCATCTATCTACAACACAGGTACATTATTTCATACTTTGTTGTTCGTCATTCGTGCTTATTATTAATCATTATACCTGTAACTTATAACGAACATCTGCAGGTGCAAGAGTTCATCTGACAACTGGAGTCATGTTTTTTTAACTATGCTGTTTACTATAGATAGTCCAACTAAATGTCAGACATTTATAGGAAATTTTGCTGGTTGGTGGATGCATAAGACGCGTTGGTTAGAAAATACGACGGACTAACTGGTAAAAGTAGTTAGCTTCCCTTTAATTCTTAGACTGACATACTTTTTGTTTGTAGTGAGTCTACTTTCGCTTTATTGAAAAATGACAAGGCTTAAAAACTGCATACTCGTATTAAATTCATGTGCACAGTGCCAGATGTAAACCATATTTCTATTAGAATCTACTGCGTCGTATCGAGAAATCTTGAGCTCCATTTTCAACTCAAATCTACCTGTTTGTGACATCTCTTTTCAGGTTTTTCAATAAAATACAACAAAGTTTATGATTTGCTAAAGAAAAAGATGACTAAATGAAATGGGTATTTTTATAAAAATATGATGGATATAACGACAATTTATCGTTACCTGTGTCTGAGACGGATGGCACAGCTCAGTAAATATATATTTTTAAAAATAGTTATAATTGTGATGCTGTTATAAGAAATATTTATTTTTGGTCAGCGCATCTCATCTCATAGATGAGAATGCTTAAGAATCGAAAATAACTAACTGTATATTGACTAAATCTTAAATGGCAGTAGTTTATTACAATATCATTTCCATAAGAACATTTTTTATGTTGATTTGATTTTCATATAAAAATATTACCATATAATGGTGATACCGCATAACCACACCGATATACGGACTATCAGAAAATATGCATAATGTAGCAGCTCCCAGTGATCGATTTTTGAACATTTTGAATGAGCCAAAAACTAGTCTTCTATTGTACAATATCGGATAGCTTTCGATATACTTTGCTTAATTGGCATTTTCAACGTTAAAGTTTTTTCTTGCAATCGGCTCTTATCAACTGCAAGTTAGTGTATAGGAGCTCTCTAGATATAAATACTTCATGCGATTGCAGAGCAGTCTTAGTAGTTGTAAGGTCCATACGCTGATCCTGTGGTGTAGTAAGGTCCACTGTAAGGTTGGGGTTGTGGAACTGGATAGCCTGCATATGCATACTGTTGTTTCTGTGGGTATACTGTAAATAGACAATCGATTAGATATTAAGACTTTTTGGATCGTCAGAGTGCTTAGGTGTGTTTTGGATTGAGGGATACTTTGCAGAATAATGCAGAGTACTATATAAATAATTTTAGAGGTAATAAATATACCTACTAATAATGCCTACGTCAAGTATTCATTTTGCAACATTTCCCTAAATCATTGTCATTGAAAAAAATGGTTACACAGTATATACATTAAGAGTGACTCTCGCTAAAGGTTTTAGTAACCTCAAGAATATTTTTACTTCATCTCAGGATAAAAGAGGGTCCCAGTTATTATTTTAAAATAAAAAAACATAAAACTAGTCGGTTGTAAATGAAGCGAGTTCCTTCAGTTTTGGTGAGTATGGTGTAATGAGTATGGACGAAAACACAAACTTTTTTACAGACATTTTTTTAATTGCCCGTTGAAGCTTTTCGCTCAGAATAATTGTTTTTATTTTCAACTGGAGCTACTTGGTGGAGAGTGTTTTTAATATTGTATCTGATTTATCTTGATTTTGAGCTAATACGCACAATTGAGTTCTGGTATTTACCAAATATGTATTTACTATACAGAGTAATTCATCAAAATAATTTCACATTGTTAAACGATATAAATAATTATAGAAAGATGTAACTACTGTTAAGTGGTTAATTTGAGAAGTAACTATATACACACCGACGTTACAAAAATATGACACAATATATCTTTAACATAAGCTCAAAAAGCGAAGCCAGGATACGATGCCAAGTATAGAAATGTATATCTAGAAGAAGTGTTAATATTTTTAATAATGTGATTATCATGACATGTGGAAGGAGCCTTTTGTTTTATAACTTAAGAAACTGTAGAGTCTATTTTGTTTACCTTGCTCCATTAATTAAATATTACATATCAATAACAGAAAAATATACATACTAAACGTTAATTAGACATCACCTCGCAGTGTGTCTCCGCACATTAGTAACTTTTTCTCATATACTTTTGCTTTAACTGAACGGCCAAACGTGAGTGATTATTTTGTCACAGAAATACATAATACATAATAAAAAATATATGATTGCATGGTTTGTATCACTCAATTGTGAAAAGGACTGAATTTGTCCTCAAAATGGTATCTATTCCAAAAGGCTCCTTCAATCCTTGTGTGTTTTTATGTTGCATCTAACTCTCAAATTCACACGATCCTAAACGGATACATAGTTGTCAACCGATGTTTAAATCATTCCTCTGTTTTGATACTGATAAAAATAAATAACTTATGAAATGAAAGTACTTATGGAAGGAAGAGTTAAAAAAATATGTTGACATGTTAAACGTGGATATATCTTATTTTCCTTAGCCTTGACAAGCAACGACGAGTAGTATTTTATGAAGCTGCTCTATGCTAATGACATAATTGCGAAACTTTTTTATAAGTAAGTACATTCGATCATAAGTAGATGTGGATTTATTCCAGATATTAGTATTATACAGAGAGTTCTTAACTTTCGTTTGCGTGGCGTATAGTTTTCGTAAAAATTAGCAAATTTTTCTAGAACTACGTACTTAATGTTTTTCATATCGTACAAACAGCTAGAGACACAAGCTGCCGGTAGGAATGTGGAGAACCTGGACGAACCCGAATGTTACAAATTGAGAAAAATCTCAACAAACTTAGGGTTTTAGATTCGTATGGCGATACATTCGAACAGTATTAATAAGAAATCATCATTTTTACTCTCTCGTTGCTATTTTGATCGCGCATAAGCTCCAAAATTATCTATCTAAGGTCTATCTCTCTGCATTATCCAAATGGTGGATGCTCGTATGACTTTGACAATAGTGCCTACGCTGAACATGGGATACCTGTCTGGGAGTCTTTCACTTACTTCGAACAAGCAGTTTCTAGGTATCAGAGGTTGTCAAATAAAGTCAACGCGACTGATTAATAGACAGTTTTGGCGATCATAAACAGCGGTTATGTAAACGTCAACGTTGACACTTATGTCGTAAATGGTCAATGGATTATACATACATAGGTTACCGTTAACGTAAGAGGCATTTGTGATTGTAAAAACTCTCTAATGTTATGATGTCACCTAATTACGAGCTGGAAATCTGATCCGTTGTTAATGTCCGTTTGGGACTGTAAGAAATTTATTGGTGGAAAGAACCTTCATGACGAAGTCGAAAGTTGTGAGAAAAACTAGATGCAACCATAAGGAGTGGGTATTGTGGATAGAGCTAAAAAAGTGTGTAACCACCACCAGAGAGAGAAAAGGGTTACCAGGCATTAGGTACTGCATGTTGACTGCCTCTTCAGCCTCCCGTTCCGCCCTGAGACAGACCGCGGCACCGCTGAACAAAAGAGCAGCCACCAAGGAACACCCCACTCCCACCCATGACACCATGTAGCTCCAGTCGTAGTTGACACGTGCGTTGTCACGCAGCACCTACAACAATATGGCGCTGGTTTAAACATAGCGACGAAGAAAAATGTTTGGATTCAATTGTATTAATTTTTTCTGAATGTTTCTTCTTCCTCTCATGTTTATTATGGTCTCCATTAGTCCTTCAGTAGCCTATCGCTTTTATAAATCCACAAAGCATAATAGAGTAAGATCCCAACACTGCTGGATCTAACTTACTTTCTGAAAGGCAAACAGTTTGTAAGAACTTTGAACAGTTTCGTATCTGCCTAGCTGAATAGAGGGCTGTATCTATCGGGTGAGAAAGGTTATTAAAAATAAGAGTAACTTGACTTAAATTCTGATTGCGCTGCAGTCAAAACTCATAACCGGTCAAAACCATTTTTGACTACAAGAATAAGTTAAAAGAAGTTTTGACTAAGACAGTTGGTCTTAACTTCGGAAATATTGGGCACTAGTGATTTTAACTGAATTGTATCGGTCAAAAGTGGTTTTAATCGAGATTGTAAGTGAAAACTATTCATGACTGGCAATACTGAATAAAATCATAGGTGTTCCCGAAATCATTTTTAACAAATAAAATAACATTTTATTTATCTACTATGATACTCTTTGTGATAAATAACTAAACTAAAAAACTACTTGTTAAACTTTTTGGTTGTCGTTAGCTGCTGGTTATATTTGTTTGTGTGATATTTTAACTGTAATGACACTTAAAATTACACAACAAACTTTTTTCTTGCACAGGCACCTGTCAAAATAATTTTCAACTGATTTTTGCAGTCAAAAGTGGTTTAGACCTGTTATGAGTTTTGACTGTAACATAAATCATATCCAGCATTGCCAGACATTTCTCGATGGCCATAAATCCCGCTAGATCTTCTAAAGATTAAACAGAATGTCAGCGAAATCAATCTCCCTCAACATTTTTGGTGTGACCGTTGAGGAAGGAGAGATTTATACAAAATGTAGAGTATAATATAAAGTTTTCCATTTTTGGACACAGAAAAGTAAAATCAAATAAATTTATAATAAATTAATTTAATATATGAAAATTATAGTAATTTATTTCTGATTCCAAATATATTATGGCTTCTTATAAAATAGGTACTTGTTTTTAATATTTTACTGAAAAACTTGAATTCTGTATATCATTTATCCATGTGGTCCACAAGATTAAATTTTCTGACTAAACGACTAAAAAGGAATATTACGAAATCAGGAAAAGGGTGATAGTCATTTTCACTAAAAACATATAGGGTGCTCCATAATATACATTATTTGATAGCACTATTTAAGACAAAAATACGAGTATATCGCATGGAAAACTTTATATTAGATTGTATGATTTTTGTATAAAACTTTCATTTTGAAAACGGTCATACATAAATGGTGTCAAGTAGGTTGACTTTGCAGATCCCAAACATCCTTATCAGTGCATAAAGGCACATGTTTAGCACAAGCTGAGCTCTGAGAAACAAGTCAGTCAAGCAGATCTATACGATTCCTTTCTCACCTCTTAAATTTGACCCAGTCTCGATCCAACCTGGCGATCAGTCATATACGTTCTTATTGAAACTAATCAGTACGATAAGTGCCTTGAGATAAAGGAAGGAAAGTGAAGTGTTCTATGTTTATCTGTACTATCATGTACTACGGATGCACTAGGATCTCTATCGCTCTATGGCGACAACAAATAACGGTAAAATTTTATTGTTATAGATTGAATGACCAATATTCTTCTTCGTCCCCACGTTCGTAATGTTATCACTCTAACCTGGCATAATATATTGGACATTGTCCAAAGTTTCTTTCTCTCTTTCGTTGTCCAAACAGCAAGCTCCAAAGAAAAATAGTAGCGATGCGGCTAGTGATGTAAAAACACCTAACCAGCCCAGGACAAAACTCCAATCATAGCTGATTTCAGCGTTTTCCTGAAGAATCTGGTGATCATGGTTAATAAAATAAATACTTGTAATCCAAATAATTCTTACTCAATTCACCTGGTATGTCAGAAGTAATCCAAAAGATTTTTTTTTTTGGTGGAATGCAAATATATCTCGGCGTCTTACAAGTTTCACGCATATACGAGTAGTATCGATTTAATTGTAACACGGTCTTCGAATTCTTCGCCAATTCTTTTGGGCTACTTCTTGCATTCTGAATTTACAGAGAATTGGTCGAAACATATTAAGAGCCTTCCAGGTTGTACTAGCAATATTTTTTTGCAAAGATGCCGACTAATTCTACAATTTCCTTTATGACTAGTTTCCTTAAAAGCAAAACAAATTATATGCTTAAGTTAATCGAAGTTAACAGAAAACACGACGCATATTCGTAAAGTGAGGCCGTTTGAGTATATTTAATTATTGGCAGGTTTGAAAAAGTTGAATGCATGCAGCGCCACTGCATCAAAACAATGACCTCGGTGACTCTGTGGCACTTTATAAAACTTTGATGTTCTGATATCTTCTACATTAAGAGACAACTTTTTTCATTGGTAATAAATCAGAATCTGAAGCTAAAACTTTGGGCTAACACCCAACATAACATTGGTCCTGAGCTATACCTACGCCTAGGTGTACACTACAGTGGGCGTATGTTTTGAGTGGTTCATATGTACTTACAGTATTCCATTGTTGATAATATTCTTCTCCAACTTGTTTTTCTTTTTCGTAGTATTCCACACCATGCCATAGCCCCATAGCACCCGCTGCTAATAAACCTGCGTCAAATAAAAATAAAATCAATCAGTTTCGCAATGCCTTGACCTGAATACAAAAATCTATAACCTGGTGCCAATCTGCATCTAAACATGAAACCATGAATCAGTACAAGATCTCAGATTTTGGAAATTGACCATGTGTATAACCATAATTACGGCTGAAAAAAAAACGGGCCTCCAAATGAAAAGTGAAATCCTGTATAGTAAATTGTACGGTGACACAGTACAAAAATCGTTGATTTGCTGCTCCATCAGTTATGTGTAAAACTCTACAGTAGACCAGCATTATCAGTAGCATGCTAACTACATCATATAAAGTATTGTACATTTTGATGGCCGTGAGTTATCACATGGCCGGGGTTCGTTGGGATTGTCCCGATATTTCATATGATGTAGAGAGTCCCGGCAGAATACAAATTGTGCCGACAAATAACTAAATACAAATTCAAAAATATGCGGTTTAAAAATCAATTCACTCATCTATAGCCTCATAACTTGTCAAAAAAGCATTTTGTTGTAATAACTTTCATTTTAATAAGAACAAATGACTTTTTAATCCGTTATATTTATTTGTCACGATTTTAGTTCCAAAATCTCGACTTTTTGAAACGCTGCCCAGGTATGAACCCTAATCTGACCTGTCACTGAAAAATGGCGCTTTAGTCCCAGGTAGTATTTTCGCATCTGATGGAAAAATATTCTGACTCGCATTGTTTGCATAAACTTAAGCAAAGGGGCCCGTTTTAACGAATCTGAATGTTGCCAGACCCAAATATGCGTCCAAGACATTTTTGAACATTTTTTGTTGTTGTTGAAGGCTTATTTAGCATCATGCTACAATGTATAATATAATTCGGTTACATGTTTTCCTTCAATCCATTTTCTGTAATTTTACGTTCTTGTCTTTAAAAATTTAAAATCAAAATTCCGTCACTACGTATTTTGATTATTCATAAAGTGATTTTTTAATTTCACCTTAAACATTTTAAATTCGAACTCTGTTTTGTATCATTATTCAATTTATTAAATTCAAATACTCCCTTTTGAAATATAGATTTACTAGTTTTGCTACTATTACAATTTTGCAGATGAAAATCTATACTGCATCTAGGTTCGTAGTAATGATAATGACTATTTAATTTTGTCAAGTTCTCTAAATGTGGTGGTAATAAATGATTTTTTAATTTGAAGATGAAAACGAGAACTAAATAATATATGAACTTTTTCACATCCAACCACTGCACTCCTTCTAACATAGACCTAATCCTAGCATATTTGTTTTTATTTAAAATGATTCTCATAGCATTATTTTGTAGAATTTGTAATTTTGAAAATATCTTTTAATTTGCTCTAACAAGATGGTTGAACAATATAAAAAATGAGGAAGAATTATAGTGTTATACACAATTTTTTTGGAATACATACTAAGATTATGGGAAACTCTATAGAAGTAATTTATATTTTTCGATATTTTTGAAATAATGTATTCATAATGTTCGTAAAACAGTAGCTTACGAGTACTATCTACATATATACCAAGACATTTAAATGACTCGACTATTTCAGTTTTTTCATCATTAATCATGAGCCTAATTGTATTTTCACCTAAATGTTTATCTATTGACATACATTTTGTTTCATTAGTGTTTAATTTAAGTTTATTGACATTTAACAAATTCATATTTTTTTCAATATCACTATTTAACAGTTCTAAAGTAGTGTCCAAATGCTTATGTGCTACATATATAAGTGTATCTATCGTCGGCAAATAGTTGAATTTTGCAGTGTTCTAAAATGTCAGAGATATCATTTATATAAATAGTAAATAGTAACGGCCCTAATTTACTCCCCTACTGATATATTTTGAACAGTTGACATAATATTTCCAACTTTAGTTTTTTGAGTTCTGTTTACTAAATAATTTTGTAAAATGTGTAATTCTGATCCTTTAAAGCCATAGTGACGCAATTTCATTAACAATTTTTCCCTCAAATGCCCTTTTGAAGTCTAAAAATATTGTTACAATATATTTTTTCTCATCTATACTTCTCCTTCAGTCTCCCACCACTATTTGGATTGCAGTTTCTGTGGAACAGTTTTTTCTATATCCAGCTTGATTTTTTATCAATTTTTGGTTTCTTCAATGAATTCTATGATTTGTTTGTATATTATCCCTTCGAACAGCTTCTCGACATCGGGCAAGACATTAATCGGTCGCACATTTGTATACAGCTGAGAATTGATTTCTTCCAGCCAGTGTTTTTAGGTTTTTTAGGACATTCTGAACAAAACTCTTCAGCTCTCTCTTCCCTCTTTAGGCAGCAGCGGTGGCCGCAGTAGTATTCGGTCTCCTGATCAGTCGCACAGGGGTTCGAGTCTCGTCCCAGGAGAAATTTTTCTCTTGGCTATGAATGTTGTGATTGTCCGTAGGTGGTAGACGGTCTCTGACTGTCGAACGTGGAGGTACCACCCGGCGGATCTCGTAGGTGGAGCCAGAATGTGTGCATGTCGCATGCACACGTGTTCCCTCGCCAGAGTCCGTGTGGCGTTCCCCCTTTCTCCTGTATCCCCCTATAGCCCCACGGTAATCAATGAATATTACAGACTATAAAACAACGAAATGTTTCATAATTTGGATTTATACTGAGGGGTGATCGACATATTAAGATATTGTAATTGTCCAATGTGCAAAATAGAGGGAGAAGAAGAGGACCAGGGAAACAACGTTAGTAAGTTAGTAAGTGTGGTGGGGAATGCGAAATGCAGGAGGAATGTTCACATTAGCGTGAGGGGAACAACTACAAGTAAATAGCGGATGAACACCTCTACACGCTGGAAGCGTATGGCACCCAAAGAAGTAGAAGGCCTGCCACTTACTCAAATACTGATGTTGGTGATTTCTGAGTCACTAACTTGATAGTTTTATTGGTATTGGACCATCAGTTGAAAACAGTTCCTCGTCGAAATTTGCAATACTTTTTTTGTAGTGTACGGAAAGTAAATTGGATATAGATTACCCGTAGGTTTATGATTTTTGAATGGAAAACCTAATTATAATAACCAATGAACATTGTATCTGTTGCTTGGATGAAATTACCAGCACAATATCTGAGGAAATATATAACTCCTGGTGTTATTAGTTCCGCATCGTGTAAGTGCATAACCGTTAAAAACTACCATTCATAGCTTTTCATTTTTTCACACACCAATTAGTTCATTAAAACGTTTCGGTCATTAAATGTTGATGCAAAAATTGATTTTTTATGCCTCAATAATGGTATAGAACAGATGTTACTATTGTTACTTAACTGGAATGATTTCGTTTTTTGTAAAGAATTACCCAACTGAATACTACAAGGCAATGCCTACCGGTATAAAGTCGAAATTTTAACCAAAATAAATAAATAAGCAACGGTGCTCCCTTAATTGGTAGTCAGTACAAACCCAGAGTATGAACTATATGAATAGTCAAATTATACCCTTTAAAATAACGTACAAGCTATTTTTCTTCCCCCCCCTGTAATGGACATAACATTTTTGTATTGAATTCCACATTAATCCACGCGGCTTTCTCAATTTTTAAATGCCAGTCATAGAAAAACATTGCACATTGCCTACGACATCTGGATTTACATCCCCTAGAGATAGAGCACAATTTAGTCCAAACTCTGACCTCTGAATTTTTGCTGCCATGTTCAGAAAACACTGTATGTTAGTTGATTAAGTCGTTGATTTAGCTATTATTACAATCATTTTTCTTACAAAGCATCGTTATTTTCTCCGAAGAATACGTGCATCAGGTGTATACAATTTAGCAGTGTTGATACTTTCTTAATTTAAATATATTTAAATTCCGCCATATAGTTCAACGAACCATGTACGGTTAAACAATATACAGTTATAAGAATCTTTTTAGGGAGTTCGAATGAACTCTGAGTTAACGTGAAAGTAATAAAGAATAAAATCGTATTAACACCATTAATATTTTAGTATGCCGAGTGGGCCACCATGAGCGTTACACAGGTATTGTGATTGAACCAATACTGGTTACTGATGTTGAATGAGCACTTCACAAAAGTAATCTATGAGCTGTCCTTTATCGTTTTTATGAGCATATCTCAAAAATACATTATTGCATTAAGCATAATTTTTTAGGTTGGCAAAAAAAGTTATATTAAAGTTTGATAAACTGATAATTCTGCTATTTTTGAAGACAGATTATTGCATTTTCTTAATACAACCATTTTCCAATTCTTGAGTGATCTGCATAAGATGTTTGAAAACACAAAATAACTGAGTTGCATGTACCTAGATATTAGTTTCTTTGCTTTCTCTTATTGTAAGCTTTAGTTTGATATTAAGCAACATGTTAAATACGGCAAATTATACATTAAAGTAAAGGAAATTATGGTTCGAAAGATCCCTTATATAGGAACTTATTAAGTTTCTCGTAATTTCTTACGTGAGCTTTGCAATACTACGTAAATTTTCAAGTTCAACGAAACGGATGTCATCATCATAGCTACGTCACGAAAATCCATGTAAATCATTCCCGCCAGTCTAATTTTACCACTTGATTTTTCTGGACGTTTTTGGTGGGGTTAATTTTATCTACATAAATTTGCCTCCAAAGCTTCATATACGTATTTCGTACGTAAAACTTAGAAATCCACTTATCAGAAGACATATATATATATATATATATATATATATACATTTACTTTCCACGCCTACTGGTAAGAAAGTATTGTAATCACGAAAAATTCCGAAAATCAGATGTTATGTTTTTTGGATGCTATGTGACATGTACAGGGGAGGGGGGGAGAGGCGAAGGATATCTTAATTTTTTGATATTAGTATATTTATATATTCTCGACATCGATAATTCCAGTCACCTATTAGACATTTCACACGTCATAGATTTCTCCGTACATTGGCCTTCAAAACAAGATGACAGTGAAATGTTTTCGTCTAATTCTGCTCCCGCCGGCGTGCCGATC